ACCCCAGTGCTGGTGTTCGTGGAGGAGGTAAGACAGGGACTCGCTGCTCAGCCAGTCCACCCAAAATAGATACAAGTTCAGTGAGACAGTCTCAAAACAGTAAGGTGAAGAAGAATAAAAGAAAAAAGCTCGAAGTTGGCCTCCGGCCTCCACTCATATACTCACAGGTGAGCCCAATTGCCCACATACAATTTTGGGAGTCTAGAAGTCCTAGATTGAAGTTCCAGAAAATTCTGTGTCTGGTGTGGTTCTGCTTCCTGCTGCACAGATGGCCATCCTCTGTCTCAGTCACATGGTGCAGGGACAGTGGAGCTTTCCAGGGACTTAGTGTGTGTGTATGCACAAGCATACATGTAGGTGTGAGAGCATTAGGGATGGAGCCCAGGGCCTCAAACATGCTTGCCTTACAGGCAATCTCTGCCCTCAGCTCCCAGCGGGCTCTCATAAGGGCACTGATCCCATCAGCGAGGGCTCTGTTGTTATGATCTATTCCTCTTCTAAAGTTATCACCTCCTAAAACCACGCATTAGGGGTCCGACATATGAAAATGGAGAGACAAAAAAAAATGATCCCTTTGGGGAAACATTCTGCCTCTGCCTCTCAATTCCGGTCGTCCTCACTATGCAGAGATTAGGCTGCTGCAGAACAGCTAGCCCACCTGCCTCAGCCTCCTCTGTGCTAAATTCATGGTCTGAGCTCTGAATAAGTGTCCTATCAGCATAAGCCTGGCCTGTGCCCTCAGTGTTATCCCATATACCTGCTCTCTATTTGCAGCTGGATAGGCTGGGTATTTTTCCATTTGATATTTTTGTTTCTTTTCTGTTTAATACATCTCATCTCTGCATCAGTTTTTTTTTTTTTGGGGGGGGGGCTGGGTTTTGGGAGTTTCCAGACAGGGTTTCTCTGTGTAACTAGCCCTGGCTATCCTGGAACTTGCTCTGTACACCAGGCTGGCCTCGAACTCACAGAGATCTGCCTGCCTCTGCCTCCCGAGTGCTGGGATTAAAGGCCTGCGTCACAATTGCCCAGCAAAATGTGTAGCCCAGGCTGACCTCAAATTTGTGATCCTCCTGCCTCTGCCTCCTTCAGCAAATCCTACCAGTGTGTACCACCACAACTGGAGTCTGCATCATTTCTTGCTGCCAGAATTTTACTATGAAGAGTCCTGCAGCCCCCCAAGCCTTTTGCTTAGAAAGAGCTTCACTAAATATAAGGTCTTTGCTCCCAACATCTACGGCCCACAGAACATCACTGAAACCATGCAGCCAAGTACCAAAGATGGTCTTTTCACTTCTGTCTAAAAACATGCTCCTGTTTCTGAATGACACCTCACCAGTGTCTTAGGAGGCTTGTTCCAACCAGCACGATGTCCAGGGCTCCCTAGGTATCCTCCTGAGGGCTCCTTACAGCCTCTTCGCTTTGAACCTTCATCAAAATCACCTGTGAAGGCATCGCCAAGTCCTTGCCTCTCTTGTTACTAGGTCCAAAGCCATTTCCATATTTTCAGATATTTTAGTATTGCCTCCCTTCTCCCAGTACCAATTTCTGACTACCACAGACTGCTTACAAATGGCTGAAAGTTGTTTTTGCTTTGCTTGTTTTTTGTTTGTTTGTTTGTTTTTGTTTTTTGTGGGTTTTTTTTTTTTTTTTTTTTTTTTTTTGCCTCTAAGTTTCAGAAGATGGAAGGGCCAGCACATTCTTGGTGAACAGCAAGGGCCTACTTACTAGTTTGTAGACAGCTGGGGTTTTTTTTGTTTTGTTTTGTTTAGTCTTTTGTTTGCTTGTTTTTGCTGTCTCCTCTCACAGTGGAAGGTGAGAACACCCCCAAAGTCTCTCTTATGGCATGCTCATTGCTCATCCAACTTCTGACCCCTCTACCCTCATTACTCATTCACCCACTAACCTCCCAAGGGCTCCTGATACCATTATATGGAGGATCAGGATTCGGAAGCTGTTTTTTTGTTGTTGTTGTTTTATTTTTTGAGACAAGTTTTCATGTAGCCCAGGCTAGCCTCAACTCTATATACAGTCAAGGCTGGCCTTGAAATCCCAACCTTCCTGCCTCTGCTCATCAAATGCTAAGATTTCAGCACAGCCAGTGAAGGCCAGTGGAGCCCCCTGGAGGTGGGGTGATGCAAAGGCACCCTGTGCTTGGTCTCAGCCTCCAGGACAGTAATAAAATCCTGAGGTTTACAGCTGTGCCATGTATGGTGTGCTTGGATAGTTGCCAAGCCAAAGGTTGTGCTACACCCACCGGCACCATTCTTTTTTTTTTTTTTTCTTTCAGAGCTGAGGACCGAACCCAGGGCCTTGTGCTTGCTAGGCAAGCGCTCTACCACTGAGCTAAATCTCCAACCCCATCCAGCACCATTCTTCCCCAAGAATTGATGAGCTATTCAGTCCATCCCCTCTCTTCCCCTACTAGATCGGAAGCTCCATAAAATGCACTGGCAGTGTCCTTTTGCACATCATTAAACCCTTTGGGTCTAGCACAATGCCTAGACAATAGCAACCAGTAGTTGTTCTTGGATGAACTCCACACATTTAAGTCATTCATGATTAATGACAATGGCTCCTGCTTTTAAGAGTAGTTGATTTTTTTTTTCAGATGCAAGCATCTAAGTAGAACCTGCAAATGTCCCCTCTCTCCCTCTCTCTATACCATGAAACATGCAACTCAGAAGCTATGGCTTATATTGCCGGCTACTTACTGGCATCTATTCACTCCTTGCTTAGTGAGAGAACCCCCACTGCAGCTGAGCAGATTGTCATTATGAATAAAGACTACATATCCCAGCTGCCCTAGCAGTCAGGGTGACCAAGTTGTAGAGACCCAAGGAAGGTATTACATGGAACTTTTGGAACAGCATCCAAGGAAGGAAAGGTTTACTTTTCACAATTTCTACCTCCTTTCAGGCTCAAATTCACATGAGGTGATTGACACTTCAGCAGCAATATTAAACCAAGAGGTGATCTAGAGAATTTAAAACCTTTCTTTAAAACAATGAGGCAGAGCCAGGCACACACCTATAATCCCAGCAGGGACAAGAGAATCATACAAGTTCTAGGCCAGTCTGATTAGGCCGCAAGTTCTAAGTCGGCAAGGGCCATATACTTAGACCTTGCTCCAAAAATAAACAATAAACAAAATTGTAGAGCAGAAAGATAGGCCTGCGTCCACTTAGTAACCATAAAGCAGCCATCCCGGCCCTAGACTTCCAACTTGCAGATGATGATGACCCCTTTTCCTCTTCCTTCTCCTTCTATGAGAGAAGACACCAGCCTCTATGATTAGGTCTCTTTTATAAGACGCCAACACCATCACTGTTGGCAGCCATGTTCTTGCCACAGAGAGTTAATCCCTCCACTGAGTGAGGAAGAGCGGTTCAACCTCACCCACAGTCAGGGAAGTGACCACATACCCCTAGGTTCATTATACTGATTCACACCAGCTTTCTGCCACACAAAGGAGAGTCCAGACTAAGCCTGGGCTGGCAGTGCACATCTGTAATCCCTGTACTCGGGAGGCTGAGGCAGGAGGTTCTCAATAGTGAGACCCTGTTTTGAAAACCAACTGAGGAGTCTGGCCTAAGACATGGCTACAAGGAGACCAGTATGGAAATGCAGAACTGGACAGACCTTCAAGACAAGTTACTAACCTAAAATGCAAACAGCCAATATTTACTGAGCCCTTACAAGGTGTTGGACCATGTCTAGCAATATTACCTAATGTATCTCTTTTTATCTCCCAGTAATCCCACAGGTTGGTACTACTATGCCCATTTTGCAGATTAAGAACTGAGGCACAAATGGTGACTGCCTCCAGACCACACATCTCATACTGTGTAATTTTAAACCAGGTGGGGTATAAACTATAGGCCCTCTTAGCTGAAGTTCTGGTTCCCCACCAGCAAAGGCTGAGGCTCCAGGCTCCCTTGCAAGTTTACGTGGGGGCCCCAGCGGCAGAGTGAGCAGCAGGAAGCATGAGTCTGGGCTATGCCTGCCCCTGCTAGAGCAACAGGCCAGTTACCACTGATCTCTGAGAACAGTCCAGAAAGGCCCAAATGATCAGCATTGCCAACCCCTGCTGGTGGAAGATTGGCATGTTCTGTTCCCACGGTAAATATGACACCACCGGCATGTGCTATGTGTGGGCAGATGTGGGAGCTCAGGGCACCTGGGTTAAGGGCTGGTGAGTCAGCGGCTGAACTTTCTGGCAGAACTGCAGCTAACATCATCGGGGGAGGGGGGGGCTAAAGGGACAGAGCACTGATACTCAGGCATCCGCTGCATCTTTCTCTTGTCAACATCCATCTCTCACCCACTAGCCTCATATTCACCCAGCGTGGGCCCACATCCAGGTGACTCAGAGGAGGCTGTACCCCAGGTGGGTGGCTGATTGTCCCCTCTAAATTCATCACAGTCATCCCCTTTGGTTAAACAGCTCAGTACATGGCATCTCCCTGGAGGATGCCAGTCATCCTGGGTGACTCAAGCTAGCCCAATCAGACTGAGTAGAGAAAGCACTTCATGTCACCACTGCTGATGTAGTCTCTCCCTCTCTCTCCTGGATGTGAACAGAGGTGAGTCGCACGTCATACTGGCAGCCGTCTTGAGACTGTGAGGAGAAGCAGATGGAGGCCAAAGCTGCCTCTGCACCCCCAAAGAAATGCTCAACAGACACCAAAGAATGAGGTACCCTTCTACGTGAAATAAAACAGGAACCAAGAGGCTGGTGGGACTGGGGGGTGGGGTAAGCAACATGGAAAGCCAGCCCTGGTACCTAAGCTGCAGAAATGGCCAAGCAGGTTGGGGAGGGGCTTCAAACCGAAGGACCCCATAATCCTTTCACCTTCCAAACACGTGGGAAAAGTCATCTGCATGTCCAAATGTTTCACAAATAGGATTCTCTGTCTGCATCACCTCCAAGTTCCTCAGCTGACGGGGAGCAGAAGGAATCGGGGAGTAGAGCCTATGGCGACATAAAGAACACACAGCTCTCACCTCCAAGGGGATACGAGTTTATTCTGGAGCACTTAGGTCACCCCAAAGTCCATGTTCCAACATGATAACAGTTTTGGTGGTTCTTTGTTTTGTTTTGTTGTTGCTGTTGTTGTTTTTTTTCAAGACAGGGTTTCTCTGTGTAGTTTTGGTGCCTGTACTGGATCTCGCTCTGTAGACCAGGCTGGCCTCGAACTCACAGAGATTCGCCTCTCTCTGCCTCCCGAATACTGGAATTAAAGGCATGTGCCACTGCCACCTGGCATGATAACAATTTTATGAATTATTAGCATTAACAGAACAAAGAAAGTAGATAAATTAACATGCTTAAAATACATTCGTAGAGGGGCTGGAGAGATGGCTCAGCAGTTAAAAGCACTGGCTATCCTTCCAGAGGAACCAGGTTCAATTCCTGGCACCCACAAGAGGCTCACAGTCTTCTGTAACTCCAGTTCCTAGTGATCTGATGCCCTCTTCTGGCCTCCACAGACACCAGGCATACATGTAGCATGCAGACACCAACATAAAATAAATAAACACAAAGTTTTTAAGTTAGCCAATGGCTTAAAACATACATCTGTGGAAGCACCAGGTAAGGGAGTTACATCAGAGCCAGGTAAGTACCTCTGATGCTGTCTGTGACATCCTGAACTTGTGGGTTTGTGGAAGCTAGTTGTCTATCAGTATTCATAAACAGGTTCACACCATAGTCACAGGAAGTTAGGTCACACAGCGGATGGGCAATAAACAGCTATGGGCAGACGGTTAGAGATAGTGTAAGATAGTTGGCTCTGGACCTGCAACATTCCAACCTCTCCACAATCACTAAGTTTTGATCAGCCTAGAATGTTCAATGTGGATGTTTTTTTTTTTTCTGGGAACTTCACTTCACACCTGTACTCCAGTCAGCCAGCTGGGGCAGGAGTGTAATTTATTGATGTCCTGCTTTGTGATCCCTTAATCACCTCTCAGGACAGCCTAGGCAGACAGCTGTATGCTTCTGGGTCCCTAAGACGCCCGCTCCATTCAAGAGCAGGGTAGCCATGAAAGGCTAAGCTCAGCAGCTACAGCCGCCCTTGCCCAGAGAAGAGCAGGGGGCAGGGTCTCCGTTCCCAGGGTGATTCAGGATGGCTATTCCGAGTCCTCAGCGGGAACCCCGCCCTGAGTCTATCTTCTCACTGGTGACCCACGTCCGCAGCTCTATCTCCTAACAGAGGTTACCACACCAGGTTCTTTCAGAACCTTCCTGTCCTCTTCCTTCCCTTGGGCTTGGGAAGGCTTGTATCAGCTTCTGGAATAGAATGTTGCAGAGACGATCCTGTACCGCATCCAGGTTGACTTGGAATAGGCCCAGCCTCTCTAGGGACACTCATTGTTGGACACCAGGAGCCACGCTGGGAGGAAGTGCAAGCCACCAGAGAAGGAATGCGCAGCTGTTCCGGGCTGACACCCCACCACAGCTCCTGCTGTGTAGTCGGGTGGCCTGACTTTGGTTTCTTTTCCTCGCTCCCCCCTCACCCCCCCAGCGGACCTACTTTGGGGAGGTCTTTCTGTAACCAACCACACCTACTTCTACTTCCTGGATATACTTTGAGGCTAGGAGACACGAGGAACTTCATGGCAGAACCGTACAGAATCAGCACAATCCAGAAGGCGCTGTGGCTAATTCTTGTCCCTGAGCCCAGGGGAGCCCGCGGTGGAATCCAGAGCGATCCGTGGAGCAAAGCTGTCCGGATTTGGGCCTCAGCTCACCCACTCATTAGCTCCAAACCTGATGTATGTGTAGGGGCGGGGGTGACATAACTTCTCTGTGCCTCAGCCTCCTCCTCTGTAAAATGGGATTGACATCGTTCCCAGCTAACAGGGTGGCTCTGAAGTGTAAGTCATCACACTCCGGCTTTACCCTGTGGGGGCCACTGTTCCCAGCTCCCACTCAGAGCCAACTCATCCTTGCTGGGCAGGTCCAACCGCCCGCGCGCGTCCTTGCCTCTCAGGGCCTGAGTCACCGCTCTGTGCGTCACTCGCGACTCTGCTCCGCGACTTGCAGACTCACCCTGAGTCAGCGGCCGGGCGCGTCCACTGCGTGCATCGCGAGGGGGTGGCGGGGCGCCGCAGCAGGAAGTCGGCAGCTGGGTCGACGTGGGACACCGGGCTCCGGTCGGGCGGCGTGGAGGCGGGTACGGTCACCTTGCGGGCCGAGCCACTTGGACCGGGAAAGCGCAGCTCCGTCGCCCCCCGCGGCCGCCGATGGTACAGCCCGGTCGGGTTAAGCGGGCGGACTGAGCTAACCACCAAGGAGACAGTATGGGGCTGCGCGCGGGTGGAGCGCTCCGCAGGGTGGGCACCGGGCCCGGGGCTTCCGAGGGCCGGGACCCCGGCGGTGCTCAGGGAGGCAGCATCCACTCGGGCTGCATCGCCGCGGTGCACAACGTGCCAATCAGCGTGCTCATCCGGCCGCTGCCGTCCGTACTGGACCCGGCCAAGGTGCAGAGCCTCGTGGACACGATCCTGGTGAGCCCGCGGAGCCTGCTGGCCCGCGCGAGGAAGAGAGGGCGCGAGGGTCGGGGTCCAGGATCTGCGGGAGCTCAGCTTCGGCTGTGTGACCTTGACCGACTGACTGAGCCTCCCTGGGCCTCAGGTTCCGTACTTGGACTTGGCCATGAAAGTAATGATCCGTGACGCACATACTCGAAAGTGCTGCAGTCGCCCCGGATCTGATTTCAGCTTCTCGGATCAGCTCTATGAAGTAGCTGCCGTTCCTCCTGTACGGAGGAGAAACTGAGGCACAGGAAACTTGGGTTGTCTTGTTTTGTTTTGTTTTTTAAGCAACTTTCCCTCGGTCAAGCACTTTCAAGATAATACAATGAGACTTTTTACCTAGACAACCTGGGTATCCTCATGTCTCTTCTGGCCAGGAGAGTCGTGGCAGTGGCCTGGGTGTGTCATGTCTGTTGGGAGGATCTTGTCCAAATGGGAAGTGGGAGAGGATCAAGGTCAGTCTATCATGGAGGGAGAGTCCCGGTAGAAACTAGGACATTTGTGTCAGGTTAGCCCTACGTGGCTTACTATCTCTTCTTCCAGATTCTTGAGCAGTGAGCCCTGAGACTCAGGAGGATGTTTTAGTCCTAAAACTTGCACCCTGTCTTCCTGTATGAATTTCACAAGAGCAGGAATTTTGCCACCTTGACGGTTGCCTTCAAGCTGACAGTTTGTGGGAAGGGGACTTAGCCCAGGATGCTCTCTGAGTACCACTGGGCCTTTGCATAGACTTCCCTCACCCCCGGGAAGGCTGCCATGCCCTCCTTTTTCGTCATTGTTAGAGTTTTTGTGTGCACATGATGCTAGGAATTGCACTCAGGAGCTTTGGCACATTCAGCAGGAGCACCACCAGTGCGCTGCATCCCTAGTTTTTTGTTTTTTGTTTTTTAATCTCTTTGTTGCTTCTAACTCCTTAGTCTTTCCTCACAGCCAGCCACCTGGATGCCCCCTAGCACAGCTGGGATCCTGATGGGTTTCAATGACCAGTTTAGACACCTCTGTCCCGTACTGGAGCCACAGGCTCTGTGGAGACAAGGACTTGTCTGCCTTGGCCACCTAACCATGTGGCCACAAGCATGGTGGCTTAAAACAAGACACGGGTCCAAAGCTGTGTTTTGTTGTTGCCGTTTTTTAAGACAGGGTGTGTCCCTGTGTGGCCTGTGCTGGCCTGAAACTCATCATCCTGTTTCAGTCTCCGGAGTGCTGGGGTCACAGGTGCCCTCCACCAGGCCCAGCTCAAAGTGTGGTTTATTGAGCTAATCAATATAAGGCGGGTTTCTTGAGGCCCTGAGGGAAAATGCATTTCCTGAAGTCTTAGTTGCTTTTCCCTTTCCTGTGACAAAACACCCTGACAAATGCAACTCAAAGGCGACAAGGTTTACATTGGCTCTCAGTTCCGAGATAGAGCCCATCATGTCAGGGAAGTCATGATGGCAGGGGCTGGAGACATTGTATCTCTACATTGTATCTATGTAGCTCACTTTCTTCTCTTTATACAGTTCAGGATCGTAAGCCTAGGGAATGATGCCGCTTAAAGTGGGTGGATCTTCCCATCGCAGTTAACCTAACCAAAACAATCTCCTACAGGCATGCCCAAAGAGGCCGCCTCCAAAATGATTCTGGATTTCATCGAGTTGACAATTGAACCCTTTAGCTGAGGACTTCCTCTTCCTCATCTTCAAATCAGCAGCAGCTGGTGGTTCCCACCTCAGGTCACTGTGACCTCTTTTGCCACAGCCTTCTTCTGCTTTCAAAGAACCTGGTGGTTACATTCTGCCTGCCTGGGCAACCCAGGACAATCTCTCAATTTCAGGAGCCTTAAAGTCTACTCCTATTAGCAGATTTCCACCATGTAAGGTGGGTTTCACAGGTCCTAAAGACTAGGAAATGAGCATCCAGAGGGACCATTCTTGAACCCACCCCCTATCATACCTTCAACACAAGGCCTGCCAAATGCAGCTGTCCAGGGCCACCCCTCCAGGGAGTCCTCCCGTGTATCAGCTCCCTGACTTGGCCCACTGCCCTGCTCTGTTGAACATGGGAGGTTACCTGTACAGCACAGGTCCCTAGCTGTTCTGCAGAGGAGCCACAGTTCAGCATTTGGGCTCTAAACTAATCCATATCTGCAGCTTCTCCAGTGGTTCTGTGCCCCTTGTCACTCCAGAGAGACCTGTGGCCTCCTTCCTGGCTTGTCATTTGTGAGACTGTCTTCATAGTATATGTCACGCCATTATTCACTTCCTCCTTCAATCTGTTCCTGGGACAGAAATCGTATCAGGGTGAGACCGTCCTCACCTCCTGGCTGTGCTGTGTCCCCCAAGTGTGGACAAGTGGGTACAGGGTAGATCGTTCACATGGATATAAATACTCCACACCTAGTGTTTGGGGGAAGCCCCTCACTTACGGCATCTGCCATTACTCTGCTGGAAATACTCTCGGGGCTGATTTTCAAGCTGCCAAGGCGCCACCCGCCAGCTTGCAGAGCCCCTAGGTGGCGGAGAGCCTGCTGCTCCCGCCAGCATGAGCCCTTTACAAGAGCTCCGCTTGGCTCAACAAAACATTTTGCCGGTTCTCCAGCACAGTGCCATGCTCACTCACCCTGTGACCTTTCTCTCTAGGAGGACCCTGACAGCGTGCCCCCCATCGATGTCCTCTGGATCAAAGGGGCCCAGGGTGGTGACTACTACTACTCCTTCGGGGGCTGCCACCGCTATGCTGCCTACCAGCAGCTACAGAGAGAGACCATCCCTGCCAAGCTCGTGCAGTCCACCCTTTCAGACCTGAGGGTGTACCTGGGTGCATCCACACCAGATTTGCAGTAGAAACCTCCTGCTCACCCCACCCCCTGCACACCAGCACCACCTTCCAGAGCCTAGAAGATACACGTGGCCCCCAGCGGGCGGAAGCTGTAGCAGGGATATGTTCTCTCTATTCCTAAGGAGGGAGGTCTGCCTCTTAGTGCCTCTGCGCTAGTCCCCAGGCCCGAGAATAAGGGAGCCCAGCTCCCCTGTATGTGAAAAGATGTCATGGCCTTGACTCTGAAGGAGTACCAAGAGGAGGAAGTGAGAAAGGAGATGGACATGGAGACAAGGACTTGTTCCATTCTTATCTTTATGATAGCCTATCACTTCATGAACTGGGAAGTAGAGGAAAACTTAGGTCACCAAGGCTTAAGTGAGAGAGGCTTGTTTTCCCCATAGATTGAGTCCCGGAACAGATGACTCACACAGTACTGGGTCAACAGCTCAGTGAAGGTGGGGCCTCCCTCTAGGTAATCCTTTGGCCTTGCCCTCATGGCCCCTTACTTCGTGGTCACAAGATGGCTGCCGTATCTCTAGGAATCTTATCTGTGCTCAAGGAAGAAACCCACTAGACCTACTTCTATCAGAAAGGAAAACCTTCAGAACATCTGCACAGAATCCTTGGTCAGAGCTAGCCATCATTGGCACCCACAGTTGCAAAGGGAACGCTGTCACAGCTGAGCATGACTGCCTTGTTCATCCCTTGGAAGTGGCACTGTGTCTCCTGCAACCAAACTGGGATCCCATTAGCAGGAGAGGAAGAAGGATGTATCAGTTAGCCCTTGCTGCATAACAAGCCGTTCCCAAACTTAACGGCTAAAAAAAAGTATTCATTTACCCATGATTCTGTGGGTGAGCACTTGGGGCTAGGCTCCCTTGGGCAGCTCTGCTGGTATGGCCTGGTTCTGCTCATGAGCCCACCATCAAGCTGTCACCTCAGCTGGGGCTGGCTGGGCTGGGATCACCTTACTCCTTCTGTGGCACATGTTGACTGGATTGGCTTGGTCATCCTTGTTGCCTCTAGAGGGTCAGCTCAGGCTTACTCTCAAGATGGCCCCAGAGTTCCAATGAGAGTCAATAGTGACGAGGCAGGTACTGGCTCGCTGTTAAGAGCACCTACATGGTTACTCGTGACTGTAACCCCAGCTCCAGAGGACCTGACACCCTCTTCCAGCCTCTGTGGGTACTAGACACATGGTCTATGGACATACATATGCAAGCAAAGCACCCACATACATAGTTTTTGTGGTTTTTGTTTGTTTTGTTTTGTTTTAAGGTGACAAGGTATCGTCAGCCCTTGTCTAGGACAATGTCACTGCTGCTGAGTTCAGATTCAAGGGGTGCAAATGGACCCCAGCTCTCAATAGGAGGAACTGTAAAGAACACAGGGCTATTGTTCGTTCAGCACAGATGAATCTTGGTGGGCAAGTGACAGTATGTCTCGCTCCCACCCATAAGCAGTCTTAAGTTACTGTTCTTGGAACCTAGAAGAAGTCATGGCATGGTGTCTCCAAGAGCTGGGTACCCCATCCTCAAGGATGACTCACTAGCAGAAAGGGGTGGGCAATGGGGCATTCAAGAGGTCTTCTGCAAACCGAGAGCCCTGGAGGCTGAGGGAAGGCTGAGGAAGCGGCAGAGAGAGGTGGCACTTGCTGCTTCTCTCCCAGAGAGCTCAGTCAAGTGTCACTTTCTGCTCTCCCAGCTCTAGCGAAGACAACGGCTTTCCCACCCACCGAGTGTCCCAGCAAATGAAACTGAAAGGGAATAAATGCAACATGGTGCTTGGGTTGAATCTTAAGACCAAAAAGGGATGGGGGAGCATTAGCAGGTCAACCAGGAACTCATTCTGTCTAGATTTAGTTACCTTCCAGTTTGGGCAATCAAACTGCTGGGGTGGGCTGAGTGGAGAATGTATGGGAACTCTTTAGTCTGCAATTTTTCTGTAAATCTGAAGTCATTCCAAAATAAAAGTTTATTTAATTTAAGAAAACACACACAACAATGTGGTAGCTTTGCCCAGTATTTTTGGTTGGGTTTGATGGGCCTTGCCCCTGAAGCTGAAGCCCCTGGGTCTGGGGCCCAGGAACATATATTTCTAGAAGGTTTTCAGGAGCAGCTGCTGCTAAGGGAACGCAGCCAGGACTCTGTAACCTGATGACGCAGCTTGCTTTTTGTGCTGGGCCCTTGGGCTGTGTTCAGGATGCTTGGGCTCTGGAGCAGCTTGAACAAGTACTCCCCACCCCTGGCAGGAGGCTTCTCCAAGCGGCCAGAGGGGCTCTGCAGCCCTAACTTTGTGACCAGGGTCAGGCGAGTAGAAGGTGTTCTTGCAAAGTGCTGTCTTGAAGTACCACTGTCACCGGTGAAGAAACTTCGGCACCTGCTGGGCGGAGGTAACTGCATTGTAGTCAATACCCCAGGTACCGACTCCATTCGGAGGAACCCAACCAACAGGCCCCAGGAGGATGGGGTGGAGGCACAGACCATTTAAGAAAGGCAACTGGAAGCCAAGCATGGCCGGTGTCTGTAATCTCCGCACTGGAGAGGCTGAGACCAGATGACAGGTTCAGGATCAAGACCCTTGCGGGCAGCACAGCAGATTCCAGGCCACCCTGAACAATTTAATGAAACCCTGACTCCACATAAAAATAGAAAGGGGGAGGGGATGTAGCTTGGCAATAGAGCATTTGGCTGACATACTGGTTCAATAAGAGAGGGGCGGGACAGGGAGAGAGGGGAGCTGTGTGGCTGTCAATTGGTACTGAGCTGCATTTCTCACTTGCACCAGCAAGTGGCGCTGCTTTCCCGTCCCTAGAACAGAGCGGCGTTTCGAGGAAGGCACTGTGTCCATGGTTGAGGGAGGGATTGTTGGACTGAAAGAAGCCTGGGTCCCGTCCTCAGTTGCTGCTCATCCTGCCTCCCCTATACTTGTACGTACCTTGGGTGTGCTGGGTTCCTTTACAGAGGGGGCACCTCCAAGAAGCTTTGGGGCCCTCCAAGCTGGGCCGTGAGCTTCTGGATTCTCATATCACGTGTTCCTTCCCCTGCACTCAGAAAGGGTAGTTTGTAGGTGTCCTTGGGGCTCCTTAAGGCCCTGGAACTTTTACTAAGACTAGACATTAATGGGTGCATGCCTGTGATCCCAGCACCTCGGAGGGTGAGGCAGGAGCATTGCAAGTTTAGGGTAAGCCTGGGCTACATTATGAGACGGTCCCAAAAAAGCTCCAAAAGCTTAAATAACTAAATATTTTCAGTTAAAACACTAGGAGCAGGCTCAAGTCCATCATGGATCCTAGACCTGGCTGGCTTTGAATTTTAATGCAATGAGTTTTGGCCCTTCCAGAAGTCTGCCTGACTGCAGAATACACATTTGTATACATTTGTGCATGTCTAGAACATTTTTGTGGTGTGTGTGTGTGTGTGTGTGTGTGTGTGTGTGTGTGTGTATCAGGTGTGAGGCCAGGGGTCAATGTTAGGTATCTTCCTTAGTCACTCCCTGTTTTTTCTTTTTTAAGGTTTTTCTTTTATTTTTTTAAATTATGTATATGTGTATCTGTGTGTGCATGTGAGTGCAGGTGTCTGCAGATCCCTCAGGAGCTGGTGTCGTCAGTGATTGTAAGCCTCCTGGTGTGGATATGGAGGAGTGAACTCCAGGCCTTTGGAAGAGCAGTACGTGTTCTTAAGGGCTGAGCCATCTCTCCAGCCCCTTCCACCTTATTTTCTGAAACAGAGTCTCACCAGGTAACTGTTCAAATGTTGTCCCAGTAGGGTCTCTCCCTGAACCTGGAGCTCACCCACTCAGCTAGGCCAGCTAGCCAGCAAGTTCCAGCGATCTGCCTCTACCTCCCCAACACTGGGATTACAGGTGTGCACAACCACACCCAGCTTTTCAGATGACATCTTGGGGAATCTAACTCAGGTCCTCACGCTTCCACAGCAAGCACTCTCCTGACTGAGCCATCTCCCCAGCCCCACTCTTCCCCCCAAGATTAACTTTTATTATGTGTATAGGTGTTCTGCCTACGTGCATGTCTGTGCATCACACGTGTGCCTGGTGCCCACGGAGGCTAGAAGAAGTCATCGGTCCTCTGGAACTGGACATAAACAGTTGTGAGCTGCTGTGAAGGTGCTGGGAATTGAACCCTGGTCCTCCGTAAGAGCAGCCAGTGCTCTTAACCACTGAGCCATCTCTCCAGCCACCCACCCCTTTTCAAAACACTATTTTCAGATTGACATCTCTTGGCACTGGCCACTGCCTTCACTGGCAGCTGAACTCCTCTCCAGAACTCAGGCTGGTGTCTGCTCCATGGCCTCTTTTTCCGAAGGCCTTCCCCCATATGTTCTTCTCTTTCCACTCGATTTTCTTCGTTACTTTCCATGGTTCTCTTCGGTCTCCACTGATGTCTTCCCTGCCCACCAGAAGGTAGATCCCGGCAGGTCTTCCCTGCCTACCATCCTGAGCCCAGCGCTGAGAACAGCTCCCAGCACTTAGGTGTTCCTCAGACAGCTGTTGAGCAAGTCCATCCCACGGGAGGGAGATCTGTTTTATCGCTGCCTGGTGTTCCAGGGTATGAATGTACGATGTATCAGCCATTCTCCTGTTAGTGGACATTTGGGAGTCCACTGGCTGCTTGTTCAACGTGTGATTCCCACGTCCCCTCTTGTGTTCTACCAGCTGGACACCTAGAAACCTAAGAGCCTGGTGACACACAGCCTCCTACCTAGCTTCTCCTTATTGGTGACCTAGCCGGAGGAGATGATCCAAATGCTACCCAGGCAGAACTTGGAGACTATTCTTCCTAACTCCAGCCCCCTTTTTTTGGGACCAGGATCATGGTTGAGAACAAAAGAAAGCTATGAGCCCTTTCCCCTAGCAAGGCATCTCACAACCACCTGTAACCCCAACTCCGGGGATCTGATGTCCCCTTCTGGCCTCCAAGGGCACCTGTACTCAAGTGCGCATACTCACATACAAATGAACATATAATTAAGAAGAAAATACAATATTTAAAAAAGAAAATACATACACTTTGGGCACTTTTTGGGCCTTCCTAAGCTTGACAGACAGCTTGCAGGGTCATTGTGCTCAGCACTAACAGCATGTCTCAGAGGGAGGTACCTGCCCATGCAGAGGTGGGATGAGAGACTGAATGGACTCTGGTTGCCAACTGCTGGTGAGGATCCTCAACCCCCATCAGCCTGCAGTTAGAATAGCCTCCCTGGGTGGTCCCTGCACGACTACCCTGCTCCCCAGAGCACCAGGCTTCGCCTGGATCCTAGTCTGGGTCAGAGGGGATCCTAGGAGAGGCTATGACTGCCCTGGCCTGGAAGGGACCTGGAAGACCTCCAAACTTCGTGGTGGGTATACCCACCACACCTGCTTCCAGGTTCGCCCTTCCGTAGAATAAAGGATCCAGCCCCACAGCCAGTCCTAGAAGTGGGCAGGGCAGACATGGTTTTCCTTGTTGCTCAGATCGTAAACTGAGTCCCCAAACAAGCAGCCACCTGCCTGGGTGCTCCAGCCGGCTCCGCCCCATAAGGCGGCCCATGGAGACTCTTGCCCCGGGGCCCCATCCTGAGCCCGACCCCCGGCTTTGCCTGGCAGATGACCTCAGCTGCCGCCAATCCATTGGTTCCAGCTCCGGGGGGAGGGTAGAACAAAGCACGCTTTGTGGCCGGCTGTCCCCTCCCCGGCGCGGCCGCCTCCGGGACCCCCTCCGGAACTCCCGGCGACGCCCCCCGGCCGACAGCCGTGTAATGTCTTCCAGGCGCGGACTCTGCACACAGCCGCGGGGCCGCCTGCGGGCCGCCTCCCTGGCCCCTAGCCATCTCTGCGCTGAAAGCTGGCCCTGGGTGCCAGGCAGGTGTAGCCACCTGACAACTCAGTGCACCACCTTGGGGTTACCAGCTTTGGGGTGAGAAACACTGACGTTGTTCATGGTGTCGCTGTGGCCGCTGTTTTGTTTTGTGACTAGTCACTTCAGATTGACAGCCCTGGGTTCCGATGTCCGTGCCACTGACTAGCGTCATCCGGTTCAGAACAGTAAGAACCACCGACTGAGGGCCTACTGTGTGTCAGTGGTAGTGTGGGGTTCTAAGGAGAAAGAAAGAGCAGAAAACCCAGTTCCCAGCTGCCCTGGACATAGAAGAACCTCTCCAAGTCTCAGTTTCCTTGTCTATAAGGGAAGGCCGTGTGTAGGACGTTCCCCTCTCCCCACAGGGTGCTCCTGTGTAGCCCATGCTGGCCCTCTGGCTCCTCCCCCCTCAGCCTCCTCGGCGGTGCTGGGATTACAGGCATGGACTACCATCCCCAGGCTCTCCTGGGTTTTTAGAACTGTATTTCTTCCTCTGTCTTAGCCCTGCTCAGATGAGCACTCAGCTGGAAGCACGGCTGAATGGGTCTATCCAGAAGCCCGACACTTTTAGGACTACAAAGAGGGGGCTGCAGCAGCCCGCGGGCTTACAGAAAATTGAGAGATTCTGCCCTGACCCGAAGACCTCTCCCCTAAGAAGCAAGTTCCCAGCCTTTTTGTGGCTCTAAACTGTGGATGGAGGTGGCCTGCCTAAGGCCACTGAGAGGAATTCAAAGAGAGGCCAAGGCTTAATCCTGAGGAAACACCATCATAACTGCCCAGGTGATGCCCAGCCCTTTGTGCCCACAGGTAATGGAGTATGATCAGGATCTAGGTGTTTTTCAAGGTGGAGCCAGGGTCTTGCCCGTGGCTGGAACTAGATCAAAGGAATATCAAGGCATGATCCTCACTCAGCAGCTAGTGCCTTAAGAGACTCAACCAAGCATAGGACATACAGTGGGGCCCAGTTCCCAGGAGTCCAAAGGGTAGGGAAGGAAAGAAATACAGTTCTAAAAATCCGAGAGAAACTGGGTATGGTAGGCCATCTCTGTAGTCCCAGCTGAGGAGGCTGGGACAGGAGAATCAAGAGGCCAGCATGGGCTACATGGAAACACCTCATCGAAAAATACCAACCAACCAACCAACTAATCACACAAACAAATAAGAACATCAAGTGTCACCTTCAAGAGAAAGCCACAGGGACTTGGAGGGCTGGCTGGTGCTCTGGGGGATCACTGATCCTGAATTTCTGAATTTGTTTGCTTTTGTCTTAGATAAAAGGAAAGAGAACCGAGGAATGGCTGAGTGCTATCCTGGGGTGTGGGTGGGTATCCAGTGGCCACTCCCTCCCTCCAGATCCAGCTGTGGCTGCCCTCCATTTGTTAACAAGTATCTCACTGGACCCCTGGCCTTTCCTGCAGGAATCTGACTGGACAGCGGGGTTGCAAAGGGAGCCTCTGCCTCCTTGTCTTGTGCCCTCTCCTGTTTTTCTGTATGTAAGCACACACAGTCTCCTGCATTTCTTCTCCAAATGCAATCTTTTGCTCCTCACAACACTGTGAGGCAGGTGCAATGGCCACCTCAGCCTCGAAGATGAAAACTCAAGGCTCATATAGGTGAGGTCCAGGGGCCTGTCCTGGAAGATACCCCCGGAAGCTCATCTGATCCAACCACGGGCTGTGTCTCTTGAAGGCCTATTGCTCTAGGAAATGCCCAATGATTAAAGTAGGGGGCCTTCCACTTAATTCAGTACATATGGAGTACCTACTAAAATTTTAGTTATTTCATATGGCCCCTTGCCTGAAAGTGTTTGAAGATCACATTTAGAAACCGTTCCTAGGGCTGGAGAGATGGCTCAGAGGTTAAGAGCACCGACTGCTCTTCCAGAGGTTCTGAGTTCAATTCCCAGCAACCACATGGTGGCTCACAACCATCTGTAATGAGATCTGACGCCCTCTTCTGGCCTGCAGGGATACACGAAGGCAGAACACAAGAAAGAGAGAGAGAGAGAGAGAGAGAGAGAGAGAGAGAGAGAGAGAGAGAGAGAGAGAGAGAGAGAGAGAGAAAGAGGAAGGAAGGAAGGAAGGAAGGGAGAAAGAGAGAAAGAAAGAAAGAAAAGAGCCAAGTGTTGGTGGCGCACGCCTTTAATCCCAAAATTCATGAGGCAGAGGCAGGCGGATCTCTGTGAGTTCAAGGCCAGCCTGGTCTACAAAGCGAGTTCCAGGACAGGCTCCAAAGCTACACAGAGAAACCCTGTCTTAAAAAATTTTTTTAAAAAAGAAAGAACCCCCAAAATGCCCTTCCTTGGGGTAGCTCAGCTCATTGGCATCTTTCAGTTCTCAGCTGGACTATCTCCTCCCTGAAGAGGTCTCCCTTACCCCCAACCCTCTCTACCTCCCCAGCAGTCACCTCACCCCCGCCATCCCCTCCATTTCTTTCCCTTCCTTTTTAAAGTAGCTAGTTTGTTCCTAAGCTTGTGTTCTTGTTTTCTTTCTTGCTGTTCCTCCAGGATACAAGCTCTGTGCAGTCGGAGCCTGGTGGGCAGAGTGGCTAAGCAGAAGCGGCTGGGGCGGAGCAGCCTAGGGAGAGAGCAGGTCAGAGAGTGGACATCCAGGTGGAGGGCTGGAAAAGCTAATCATGGTAGTCAACTTGACACACCCACGAAGAGGGAAACTCAGGTGAGGCATTGCCTCCATGAGACTGGCCTGTGAGCATGTCTGGGGGGCATTTTCTGATTGTTGGGTGATGTAGAATGGCACTGCCCACTGTGGGTGGCACCATCCCCAGGCAGGTGGGCTGCGTAAGAAAGGTAGCTGAATGTGAGCCAGAAGCAAGCCAGCGAGTAAGCTGAGTGAGTCATGTTTGTTCCTCTGGGGTTTCTGCTTCAAGCTCCTGCCTTGGTTTCCTTGGTGGGCTGTAACTTGTAAGATGAAATGAACTTTTTCCTAAGTTGCTTTTGGTTATGGTGCTTAACACAGAGACAGAAAGCATACTAGGACTAGGGCAGGTAAAGGCGCTTGCCACCGAGCGTGGGGGCTTACGTCAGATCCTGGGCAGCCACGGAATGCAAGGAGAGAACAGACTCCAACACGTGTGGACCGAGGCATATCCGTGAGTGGGCTGTCACATGCAGTCACTCATGGTTATTATGCACACACGCATAGTAGAAAAACATTTAAAAACAAATATTCTAAAACAGCCACACACGGCTTGCATGTAGCATTCCTTCTCTATGTAGGCATGAGATAAATTTGGGCTTCTATTACTGGGTCCATCTAGAAGACACAGGCTTTGTGCATCTTAATTTTGTTTTAAAGATTCTCTTTTCTGTCTATCCATTTATTCATTAACTACAAATTTCACTGTGTGGTAGACATTCTTTGGGAGTTCGGCTACCTCCTCAGGACATCTGTACTGCTGCTTAACATTGAAATGGGAGTCTGACTTCTAAATTTATTTTTTAAATTATCTTTTCGTGTGTGTGTGTGTGTGTGTGTGTGTGTGTGTGTGTGTGTGTGTGTGTAAGTGTGTGTAAGAGAGAGAGAGGGAGAGAAAGAGAGAGAGCGTTTATGTACCCCACATGCATGCAGAATCCTGAGGAGCAGAAGAGGGCATCAGATATCCTTGATCTGCAGTTACAGACAATGGTGAGTTGCCATGTGGGTGCTGGGGATTGAACCCTGGTCCTCTGGAAGAGCAGCCAGTGTCCTTAACCCCTGAGCTGTCTCTCCAGCCCCCTGACTTCTAAATTCAAATGCATATATTTTAAAGTCACTTTTGAGGTACAATTTATACGCAACAAAATGATCTCATTTTAAGTGTCAGAAAATTTGGTTTTTGTTTTAATTTTGTTTATTTAGTTTATTAGTTTATGTATGTGGGTATTTTGCCTCCATGTATGTCTGTACACCATGTGCTTGCCTACTGCCCATGGGAGGACAGAAGGTGACAGATTCTCTGGAACTGGAGGTACAGATGCTTGTAAGCTGCCATGTGGGTGCTGGGAATTGAACCAGGCCCTCTGGAAAAGCAGCCAGTGCTCTTGACTGATGAGCTGTCTGTCCAGCTCCAAACATTTTGACAGACATACACAGTCATAGAACCACAGCGGCAGTCAAATGCAGAGCATAGAGGTTACCCCCTGAGTCTGTACTGAAGGCCCCAAATCCCTTCAACATAATGTATGGAGGGATGTAGCTCAGTGGTAGAGCATTTGCCCAGCATGTGTGAGGTTCAGGGTTCAGTCCCCAGCACCACACAGAGCAAGAGGACAGCTGAAAAGCCAATGGAAGGGGGAAGTCAGAATCCTCATCACATCCCACAGAAACTGAGCACAGGATTGGCGTGGAAACGAGATGCACACGCATCAGGATCAGATCCTAACAAGACAATATCTGCAGAAGCTGAGAGCCCGGATGAGAGAGCACGAAAGCTTGAGAGATGGTGGCCCCCTGGGTAAAAACTGCACAAGCCTGATGACCTGAGTGGCCTGGTGACAGGCACACAGCAGACCCCCAACAATGATCTATTGACATTGAGTGGAGAGCTAGAAAAATGAAACAGAAGGCGGACTGGTAAAATACAGCCACACACGCATGAAGACCTGAGTTCGATTCCCTAGAACCCACTTTAAAAAGCTGGGTGGCACACACTTGTAACCCTGGTGCTAGGGATGAAGGGACAAGCAGATTCCTGGGGCTTGCTGGCTAGCCAGCCTAGTCAAATTGTCAACGCCAAGCCAGTGAGAAACTGCATCCAAAAAACAAGGTTAATGGTTCCTGAGGAATAACACTCCAGGTTTACCTCAGACCTCCACATGAAAATGCACACACATGTGCATGATACTCCCAACTCACATACACATATACATGCATGCACGCGCGCGCGCGCGCGCACACACACACACACACACACACACACAAAAAAAAAAAAAAACACATGCACACAAAATACTCAAACACCCATGTCTTCCTCAGGTTACTGAACTGTTGCTCTAACAATCTGCCCATGTTAATCAAGGAAGGCTTTCCAGAGGAGGCGACCCGTGAACAGGAACTTGACAGAGTGCATTCTCCTACTTACCAGACAGATAGGGAAAGAGAAGCACAGAGAAGTAATGAAATTTGTTCAAGGACACACAGGAGGAAGAGAGAAACAGGGGCTAGACAGAACCCAGCACTTGGGGTCCCAACCCATTCCTCCCAAGCGCCAGGTGGGTCCTAGAGCAGCAGGCAAGAGGGAACCTGGGGAGAGACTCCCAGCCAGAGTCTGGAATCCATTTGCCAGGCCAGCAGTGTTTTCCCAGGGAGAAGTGGGAGGCCCTGGCCTGTCCCCTCCCCAACACCATCTGTTCCCTGTTTATTTATTTATACTTAAGTCTCACCCTCCAGCCCTGCTGGGGGCACCAAACATACCAGCGTCCCTGCAGAGACAGCTAAGGGGCCAGAGGGACTGTCAGACCGGTAGGATCGGGCCTAAAGGGCTCATGCCCCAGCATGGCTGTCCCTACTGTGAAGCTGCCTTACCTTAGTTCATACTAGAGGCTCCCGTGTGAGCTTGGAAGGGCAGAGCCAGCACAGCATGGTGGCCTGAGCCCAGCACGGCCACCATCAGCCAAAGACTGCTGCCCAGTTCAGTGACGCTGCTCCATTCCATATCTGCAGGGTCAGCTCACACATCATTGAAGGCCCACCAAGACACAGCCCCTGTGCCCTCTCCAGGACCCTCCCCCCAGGCCCTGGCCTTGTGGAGGTTAGTGATGCTGGTGCTCCTGGAGTCAAGATTGTCTGCTCATCTGCAGGGAAGGCACAGCGGCATGAAGCAGCGATTTCACCTCTGTTCCCCAGAGGCCGCCCTGGTACGGCTGCCTGCCACAGTGGTACCAAATGCAAACTTTGGGAAGCTGGGTCCCACGGTTCACTAACCCCAGTGCACTGAAAGTCTAGCTGGGAAGAAAGCCCAGGCTGCCCCAGGGCTTCTCAGTAGTCACCCACTCCAGCCCTCTACATACAACCTTCCTCCTCTTGATCTATAAAGCCAGGGTGCCTTCTGCCTTTCCCAGAGACCTTCCCCGTGGTCCTTTCCTGGTTTGAGCCTTACTCTATTTTGAGTGCAGTCCCCTCTGTCCCCATTGTCCTCTCTGAGACGTGGCCTGCTACACAACCTCCCCTGGAGCCCACAGGAGTCCCTGCTCATTTCCCTGAAGCCTAGGTCTCCTCTCTTGCTCACATCGCCTGTTTGAGACTTCCTCCCTCATTGAGGTCCTTATCTTCAGGCAACCCCGTCTCAGTGTCCCCTCTGGGCTCAGGCCCCTTTGCATGGCACACAGGGCTAGACTCCCATGGTACCCTCAAAAGGCTTCTTGGAGTGTCATGGGGCGTCTGGGCAGACCCCTCATTCTGAGGTCCGTACTGCCCTTTTGAAGCTACGGGAGCAAGGGAGCAAACGTCTGCAAGGCCAGGGAGAACTGGATGGGTTCACTGTGTCTGGGGGCTTCCACAGCTGGACAGGAAACTGCAATAGGAGTCCTAAGAAGCCAGCGAAGCGGGAGGGGACATGTGCTGGCCACACCCCTCTGCCTGCTGGACCTTGTGGAGGCTGTTTTCTTCCTCATTGTCCTGGGGAAACTGAGGCTTATGAAGAGCTTCCACCCACCAGTCTTGCAGAAAATCTGCACTGGTTTTGAACTCAGGTTAACCCCATATCCCAGCTACTCTCAGCTACACACCCAGGTCTTCCAAAGCAATACTGGCTAAGTCCACTCACTTCAGGTCCTGCATTGTCCAGGCCTGGTGAGAGGGGGAACCAGGAATCTCAGGAAGGATGTGAATTGTTCGGGGAGCAGGCAGGTGTCCAGGGTGCTCTGTCTTACCCTCCTCGGTGCTCGATCTCCCACCACAGTGGGCCCCTGGACCCCGCAGTGCCTCCTCATCTGGCTTCCATGTGCGTATGCTGCACCTGAGTACACAGGCTGGCCAATCTGTCTTGGACTGTCAGAGGATCAATGGGGCTCCCAAGACCCACACAGCAGGGCGCTGGAGGGGAGTCCCTAATGAAAGGCAAGAAGGGGACCTGGCAGGCATAGCCAGGCAGAAGAGAACAGCCAGGCTGAGGGTGGGCTCCAAGGTGGAGCCGGTAGCAAGGGAGCCCCCACCCCCAAAGGCCCAGATCTCAGTGCTAAGACCTGTGGGCTCCCTGTGTGAGGAGGTGGGAGGTAGGGAAGCAAGCTGGTTTCCAGGCTCACGTGCTCTCTGACCTTGAGGACCGTCATTTACTCTCTCTGAACCTCAGGTTCTTTACTCTTGGAAGTGAAGGGCTGTAGCTATAGCTTAGTGGTGGAATATTTGTTTACATGTGTGAAGGCCTGGACTTCATGCCCAGTAAGGAGGACCAGGGCAGAGGCTGCACTACCTGGTATGGTACCACAGGGAGTCCTGAAGGCCTATGCCAAATAAGAGGTCTCTTTTTAGGTACAAAAAGGACTCCAAAATTTGAGCAAAATAAAGCAAGGTATAGGAAAATGCTGCATTCAGCTGAGCCTTACAAGCAGACCTATGGATATTTTAGTTTGCCTGTGTATCTAGAGACAGGGGTGGGAGGTGGGGGGGGGGGATAGGGGTGTTGGAAGGGGTCTGGCTGGGCATGGCAGTGCCTAGCTGCACTCTGCTGAATTCTTGCTCCCTGCTGGCACTTTCTTTGCTCAGATCACAATGACATCTGGTGTCATTGAGGCAGGAAGTATGAGAGCCGCCAGGCAGATGCCACCTTCGTCACTGACCAAACTGAATAGACGAAAAATGGGACAAAGCAGCACCATGTGCCCCTCCCCCCACAGGCTTCCTGCTCTGAACCTAATCATGAACAAATAACAGAAGAATCAACTGATTTGTAGTCTCCAAATATTGTCAAGCAGGGTGTGTCTGAAATCCCAGTCCTGGGGAGGCAGAGACTGGAGGGCCAGCCTGGGCTTCATACCAAGGTACTGCCTCAAAACCAAACAAATGACTGAATCAAGGTTGTAAAAGTCAAAGAAAAGTTAAGAGACTGTTCCAGAGAAAGGAGACAAAAAAGATGTTAAAAACTAAATGAAAAAAAAATTAAAATAGTCAGGCAGTGGTGCGCACGCCTTTAATCCCAGCACACGGGAGGCAGAGGCAGGAGGATCTCTGTGAGTTCGAGGCCAGCCTGGTCTACAGAGCGAGATCCAGGACAGCCAGGGCTACACAGAGAAACCCTGTCCCAAAAAACAGAACAACAACAAAAAAGAAAGAAGCCCTCTACCACTGGATCTGGATCGGATGTGTCACTGGTTTGCTGTGAGGACATGGGCGGACAAACTGGTATAGGGTCACATCAGTGTGTCAGTGCCCAGGCTTTTGTGTCTGTGGTGTGATTTTGTAAGAGTACATTTTTGCTTTCTAGAAAACAGGATGCATGAGTTAACTTAGGGCTGGGAGGAACTGTGCCGGCAACTGCTGGCCATTCGGCAAAAGCATGGGCATTTAAGGAGTCTGAGGCCAGGGCACACAATGCTTTGGGCAGTCTTCTAGCCTGTCTGTATATCCGACATTGCCAGGTAAAAGCCAGTTGTGGATATGTCCAATTGATGCAACGACAATTCAGTATGCCTGGGTGACATCCTGAGTTCTTGGCACATGTGACTGCATCCCATCCTGACAACCACCCCAGAAGGTGTGACTACCTCCCGCTTTGTGTGGATGACAGACAGAGGCTGAGTATCTTGCCCAAAGTCACACAGCTGACTGTGACGGAGGTAATGCTCACAGATGATGATGGTGGTGGTGGTGGTGGCGGCGGCGGCGGCGGCGGCGGCGGCGTTGGTGATGGTGGTGATGGTGGTGATGGTGGTGGTGGTGTGGTGGTGGTGGTGGTGGTGGTAGTGGTGGTGGCGATGGTGGCGGTGGTTGATGGTGGTGATGGCGGTGGCGGCGGTGGCGGTGGTTGACGGTAGTGCTGATGCTTGTTAGCAGCATGGTTCCTGGAATGAGACTCTCACAGATGGGCTTATTTGTAATCCCTCATAAAAGTGCTGGGGAGTCATCAAAACCTCACCTGACCACACTCCCTCGCGTCACCCCAGCCACACATGGCCTCAGTAGCAGCTGAAACAGAGAAGGAGGGGAAGGCTCACAGAAGAGAGGACTCCAACAAGGCAGCTTTTGGTGGTTATCACCTATGCCATTGCGGGTCTTTCTGTGATGCAGCTTCCAGAGCCACCTGTGAGGAAAGTAACCCTCCACGTGCCCCACCCCCACCCCAACTGCTTGGGTAAGCAGGACTTGAATGGAATTGTTTCTCTGGTTTGTGGCTGCCTTCTCTTTTGTATGTTAACAAAAAATTCAATTTAAAATGCTACCTGCATAAAAAAGATGAGAAAAATGAGAGGAATCCTTGTTCTAATAGTCAGCCTACCATAGGTCAGGCTCTGCACTCACATGGGGACGAAAGCGATAAGCCAGAGCAGTGGTTCTCAACCTTCCTAAGGCAGCGACCCTTTAATACACTTCCTCATGTTGTGTGACCCCCAACCAGAAAACTGTTTCACTGCTACTTCATAACTGTAATTTTGCCACTGTTATGAATTGTAATGTAAATATCTGATATGCAGGACATTTGACCCTACGAAAGGTCGTTAAAACTCAAGGGGTCACAACCCATAGGTTGAGGACTCCTGAGCAAGACTCAATTCCTACCTCCAGAACCAACCAGAAAGGAAGTCCAAAGCCATGGCTGCCTGGAAAAGGTTTCACTGAGATTGGAGGCTCTAGGCTGTGTTTTGATGAATGTGTAGGAGCCCCTAAAATGATGAAAAGAGAAAAGGACTCTCCCTGGGAAGAGCAAAGCCTCGAAGGTAGGACCAGTGGGTTTCTGGGGTAGCAGCAGCACTATTCAAAGGGTTAGGACAGGAGATGGCGAGGTTTCATAACTCATGCCTGTAACCCCAGAACTTGGGAGAGTGAGGTCCAAGGTTGGCCACAAGTTCAAGGCCATACTGGGCTATGGAGTAAAACCCTATTTCATAAAAATGATGAGGAACTTGAGAAGCGGGCAAGAGCACAGGGGGAAAGGACTGAGACGCAGAGTTCACGGCACTGTTCCTAGAGAGCACAGCTAAGGCCACCTCTCTCCAGTGTGGTCTCCCCTCCACTCGCTCTCTGCTTCGGCCGTAGAGAGCTGAGTTCGGCTCCTTTTTCAGGTCCTTCTCATCTTACCTTACACCTGGTTTCATTGTCCTTTTCCATCAGTTTCTACTCTCTTCCTATGCCCTTAAGCATTGTGGGAAGCCACCTGTGCTCCACCGACACAGGGTAGGAATGGTGGCAATGGTCGTGGCAATGGTGGCAAAGCCTGAGATTTTGGAATGGGTCTGGCCCTTGCTCCCCTGATGGTCCTTGCCTTAGGGTTTCTATTGCCTCTGCTAGCACCTGAACTCACATACACAACACCCCCCTCCATACACACATAATTAAAAGTAAAATTGTTGTAGAATGCTATTTTAAGATGTGTTACATTCATTTTTGCTGTGAAACATTTGTTTAATGATGCAAAGATGTGTTACATTCTTTTATGCTGCATTTGTTTAACTCTGTGAAGCTGTGTTACTTTGCCTGTCTAAAACATCTGACTGGTCTAATAAAGAGGCGAACAGCCAATGGCAAGGCAGGAGAAAGGATAGGCGGGGCTGGCAGGCAGAGAGAATAAATGGGAGGAGAAATCTGAGAGGATCTAGAAGCCAGCCACCCAGCTACACAGCAAGCCACAGAATAAGAAGTAAAGAAAGGTATACAAGATAAAGACAAAAGCCCAGAGGCAAAAGGTAGACAGGATAATTTAAGTTAAGAAAAGCTGGCTAGAAATAAGTCAAGCTAAGGCCAGGCATTTATAAGTAAGGATAAGCCTCTGTGTATATTTATTTGGGAGCTGGGTGGGGGGCCCCCCAAAAGAACAAAGAGTAAAAAACAAACAACTACATAAAATGATTTTATTTTATAGACAGGGTCTCACTATGTAGCTTTGGCTGTCTTGGAACTCACTATGTAGATCAAGTTGGCATCAAACTCACAGAGATCCTCCTGCCTCTGCCTCCTAAGTCCTGGGATTAATGGCATGAGCCACTACACCCTAAAATAAATCTTTAAAAGAAAGAGAAAAAAATTAAATGTAGACACTTGAGTTTTGTTTTTTGTTTGTTTGTTTGTTTGTTTGTTTTGGTTTTTCGAGACAGGGTTTCTCTGTGTAGCTTTGCGCCTTTTCCTGGAACTCACTCGGTAGCCCAGGCTGGCCTTGAACTCACAGAGATCCGCCTGGCTCTGCCTCCCGAGTGCTGGGATTAAAGGCGTGCGCCACCACCGCCCGGCAGTTTGTTTGTTTGTTTGTTTGTTTGTTTGTTTTGGTTTTTCGAGACAGGGTTTCTCTGTGTAGCTTTGTGCCTTTTCCTGGAACTCACTTGGTAGCCCAGGCTGGCCTCGAACTCACAGAAATCCGCCTGGCTCTGCCTCCCGAGTGCTGGGATTAAAGGCGTGCGCCACCACCGCCCAGCCATGTTTGTTTGTTTTTTGAGACAAGGTTTCTCTGTGTCGTTTTGGTACCTTTCCTGGAATTCACTCTATAGCCCATGCTGGCTTTGAACTCACAGAGATCTGCCTGGCTCTGCCTCTCAAGTGCTGGGCTTAAAGATGTGCGCCACCACTGCCCAGCTTGACACTTGAGTTTTAAAAAGAAACTTAGTTCCTGACAGATAATCACTGTTGGATCCTGCATGTCCCTGCTATGCTGGGTTTCTCTCTCTTTATCTTGACAGTTGCTCCTGGGTTTCTATAAGAGACAATTTCAGATGCCTTGGGGTGGCTTAGATGAGATGCCCCTCATAAATCGCATGCATTGAATACTCAGTTGTTAGCTGGTGGCTGTTTGGGGAGGATTAAGAGGCCTTGCTGGGCTGGGCGGTGGTGGCGCACGCCTTTAATCCCAGCACTCGGGAGGCAGAGGCAGGCGGATCTCTGTGAGTTCGAGGCCAGCCTGGTCTACAGCGCGAGATCCAGGAAAGGCGCAAAGCTACACAGAGAAACCCTGTCTCGAAAAACCAAAAAAAAAAAAAAAAAAAAAGAGGCCTTGCTGGAAGAAGTGTGTCGCTGATGTGGGTCTCCAGTCCTACCACATTTGTTCCTACCTAGCTCCCTTCCCATTTTCTGGGTCTCTGTGGACCCACTCTGCAGGGGTCCTTAGGCACATTTTGGTGGCATACAACATCCTGCTGCGTGTCCTGTTGCTCTCTATGTTTATAGTTTGTATGTGTATAGCCATAAGTTTTCCTGTGTCCCGCCTGGTCCCGCAGCCACTCAGACCCAAGTAAACACACAGAGGCTTATATTATTTATGAACTGGATGGCCTATGGCTCAAGATTCTAGCTAACTAGATCTTTCTTCTTAAATTAACCCATTCCTATTAATCTATGTTTTGCCACGTGTTCGTGGCTTACCAGTCTGCTGGCAGTTGCTTCTCCTGGTGGCGGCTGGCGTCTCTCCTGGCTCTCTTTTCTCCTTTCACTATCTCTCTTGGATCTTCCTGCCTGGCTCCATCCTGCCCTGCCATAGACCAATAAAGCTTTATTCATCAACCAATCAGAGCCACACATATTCACAGCATACAGAAAGATATCCCACAGCATATATGTGCTCATGTTCATGTTATCAATGAATGCATACAGTTGTTCCAACACTGCACTTCACTCATGCCCCAGGTATGGGCTTGCTGGGGGCATGGAAGTAAGTTTCTATGGCTATACTGAAATATATACAAATATCCTTGTTCCCTCAGGAGCATATAAACTGAGGTTTCCAGTCCCCCTCTCCCAGAGGTCTTTCGTAAACATCTGATTCAACCTCTGTGATGCTTACTGTTAATTAACTGGCACCTACTGTTTGCTCTCTGGGCACCAAGAATTTTGTGGTTCCTATCCCTCAACAGCACTCATTGTTGGTGGCCTGTGTAAGATCCCCAGCTGGGCTTTGTCCCTTGTGCCTCTTCCCACACACAGGTTCCCGGAGCCTTTCTGTTTACAAAGATTTTGGTGTTTCCGACTCTGCAGCCTACCTTGCAGCCTACACTCCTGTCAGCCCCATTTCTCCAAGAAGCAACAGAGACATGGCACTCTGCTCCAGGCCAGGCACAGCTCTTCCCTACAGATCTGTCTGCCTCACTCCATCGGTAACTCCCGGATGTTGCAGTTATAAGAAAACTAATTTACAACACAGGAAGGAGCCAGCCCAGGCCCATTGGAGCATTGGAAGGGCTCTCAGGCAGTTGCCTGGAAATCCTGTTTATGGGCAAGGCTGGAGACAGAGCAGGAAGGAGGGCAGCATGGGAGATGCCTGGGTGTGCAGCTTCAAAGGCTTCCTGGCCTTTCCCATCCTCAGGGCCCTCAATTCTGCCTCTTCCATGGAGTGTTCTTCAATCCTGGCGATATCAGGCAAGCCCAGCCTCTCTATTGTACCCTTTTCAAAGCTCCATCCACCTCCCCAGACAGAGAGCAGAAAAGACACCAACATCCCTCGGGCTCCTGTAGTTCATCTTTTACTCAGGGGAGGGTAAGACATGAATAGGTGAAGATTCCCACCATGTATGGCTGGCTTTCTGGGATGGAGAGGATGATGCAGAGCAGAGAGAAGGAATAATGGATGTGTAAATACAGAGTGCCGTGTCTTAGGCAATTAAGGGCCATGGGGTTAGATACAACAAATAGAAAGCAACATGGATACTTGAAAGATGAGGGACTGGGCCAGGAAGAGTCTCCATGCCATGGAGCACTGTCCAGCACAAGTGCATGGGCCTTTAGCAGAGCATCTGGTGATTGAGGAGCAGCAAAGAGACCAGTGTGGCTGGTGAACACCAGCAAGCAGAGAGAGTGGGACCCAGGAAAGAGGTGCAGGACCCAGGAGAGAGGTGCAGGACCCAGGAGAGAGGTGCAGGACCCAGGAGAGAGGTGCAGGACCCAGGAGAGAGGTGCAGGACCCAGGAGAGAGGTGCAGGACACAAGAGAGAGGTGCAGGACCCAGGAAAGGAGACCACTGCACCTGGTCAGGAGACTTGCGAGGTCATGATCTGGTTGTTGCTCCAGTGAGCTGGGAACCAAAGGAGGGTTTCGTTGGGGGGGGGCATCCAGAGGATTTCTGTGGCCCCCAAGTCAGCAACACACTGCACAGTGAACAGAGTGCAATGGGGGAGCATGGACCAACTAGGCTATAGGAATCCTCCCAGGAGAGGCAGGAGCAGGTCCCCATGGTAGCAGTGACTTCATACAAAGCATCTCAACATGACACCAATTTCATCAGCTCATGTGTTCAAGCTGGGCATAGCAGGGATGGAGCTGTCGTAACCTTAAGGGATCTTGGACCTCAAAGGCTGGATAAGAGTCTATGGGTGACAGTTACAATTGTCAGGGGCCTCAGGACCAGATGATTTAGCAAACAAGACTAATGACAGGGATACTTCCATGCAGCCGTGCCAGTGGTCTGGGCACCCTCAGAACACTTGGCCTTTCTATAGCTCTGTACTCTGAGAACTGGACAGCCAGGGAACCACCTCTAATGTCATGGAGTCACCTCTGCCCCTTTGTGTTGGTCAAAGGCAACAAAGCCACCCAGACTCGAGTAGAGTAGACACAGATCCCCCCCTCACTTCTCTAGGGGGACCACCTTCTAAAAGCTTCACAAACACTTGGCATCTTTGAGACAGTTGAAGGCGGCTGTGTGGGATGGTGCTGGAGGTATGGCATGGACTTAAAACTGTTTCTGCTCCCAGGGGCTCAGAGCCCAGTGGCCAATCCATAGTCACATCTCAGGTGTGTAGGCAGCCCACCTGGTGAGCCAAGGCAGGCTTCTTGGAGGAGGTAAGCACAAGCTGCATCTTAAATGACAATGTCCTTGGGTACAGAGACTGGGGCTGCACATGCGCAGAAATGAGTGAGGGAAAGGTGGTAAGGTAGGCCCTGGTACCTGTTGTCTAGGTTGGAACTCTGCATTGCTCTTTACAGTGGGTGACGTGGAGCAGATCACCTCGTCCACGTGCCATAGGCTGACATTGTCTTTCCAGGTGGGAAATGCCTGTGAGATACCTGCTAGACAGAAAGAGTACTGCTGTTGGCTCTGCACAGAAGAGGGCATGGGGCAGAGATGCTTGTGGTTTTGAAGAGGGACCCGAGGCACAGGCCAGTGACTGGTAACAACTCTTCCCTGTCTCCGCTCACTTGAGAACAGGTAAGGAAGGGGTCACTTCTTCCTTGCACCCTCTTGCTCTGTCTCCTCAGGAATCCTAGGTGGTCTGTGGAAGAGATCACTGGCCAAGAATTGGGACCTCAAAGATAGTCTGTTAGATCCCTGCTGGCTCTACCCCACCCCCAGCCTGGGCTCTCCACAGCCCCTTCAGCGGGAATTCCTCAGTCCAGCATGGAGTTCCGGTGGATTTTATGGGCCAGCCACAAGCAGACAAACGGAGAAGAAAAACATCCCCCTGGAGCCCACTGGCCTCTCAGAACCTCACTTCCGCTCAGCCGGAAGGATGCTGAGCTGTTTTAACCCTGTGTGGGAGGTGACCTCGGAGATGGATTCAAGATCCTCCCTGCCCCCACCCTGAATTGACACTGGTCTTTCCCAAGACTCTACTTTCCCCCAAGCATTCGGCAAAGCTGTTTCAAAGGTTGGTGAGATGTCGGAGGATGAGGAAACCTGCCACCAAGCCCGACAACCTGAGTGTGATCCTTGGATCACATATGGTGAAGGAGAGAACTGACCCCTTCAGTTGTCTTCCGACCTCCACACAGGCATGATGGCATGCATGCCCCAATTCCCCAGTAAATAAAAAAAACAAACAAACAAAAACATAAAGGCACCTGATACCTGTTTGTGATCACGGCGAATCGACTTATTGGGTAGTACAGTATGGCAGACTCGCAGCCAACTGTCCTGTGAGAATGGGCCCAAGACAAGTGTAGGAAATAGGCAGTAAGGTGGGCCAGCATGGGTTTGCACGCATGGGAGCTGGAGATCCAGCTGGGCCTGTCTGGTTGGAAAGATCTTAATCCTGGCTGTGCAGATGGAACTGTCTCTCTGAAACCGGCTTCGTGAGACAGTTGTGTGCCATCGGGGGAAGGGAGCAGGGAAGGATGCCAAGCAGACACACTGTTGGGACTTGACACGTCACAGCCACTGTTACTGTTGCTGTCCCTTGCGTCCTTCCTCAAACCTGGCAGGGAGACCCCAGTGCCCACATTTCGTAAGTGGCACAAGCTCCCTTACTTGCCCTGTGCCCCACTTTCCCACTTACCAACCCGGATTTTGAGGACTGAGCATATTAAACTCCAGTCAGTCCCTACAGGTTCTGTGCGGGTAAAATTTGTCTGAACTCCACATGGACAGTAACGAGAGTGTGAATGGGGAGACTAGGCAAGAGGTGGTGATAACATGAGTCACCTGAGCACAAGTTCCCAGCTAAGGCCGGACAGATCAGCACTGCCTCCCGCTCAGCCTGTCACAGTGTCTATTTCAGACCACGTTTCCCAACCTGTTGTGCTTTTGGGTGGTGACTTGACTGTTTAAAATGATCCTTTGTGTTGCATGGCATCCCATCTAATGTTCCTTACTACAAAAAGATATGTGTGTTAAATCAGTTTTGTTGAAGTGTGAGGCATGATGTCACAGTGAACTCAAAGTGAGTGACAAGGACTCACATTGCAAAAGGGGTCCCTCAGCAGAGGTCCCCCATCACCAAGGAATTGACTATTGATAAAAATGTGACTAGCAGGCTCCTGGGAGCAAGTGCTGAACATCACTGCTTCAGGGGAGATGCATCTGAAGCGACCGAACAGCCTAGAGTCACAGAGCGTAGTGAACCCCACAGTACTGACAGGCTTGGGGGATCTGCAGGCATGGTCGTGAGTCACAGTACAACCACTGTCACCAGCTGGTGCGTCCACCACAGCGAGGGCTTGTTCTGTGGTGTCTACAGCTTCACCTGGGAAGCTGTCATCTGTCAGGACTGGCTACAGTTGATGGCTCTGGACTCATGAGAATTCATTTACAGACCTGCTCCCTGGACCTGGCCAACAGAGAGAACAGAGCAGTCAGAAGCACTTCATCCAGTCTCTACAGCCATACCTTCCTCTCAGCGTGGTAGCCCCAGGACACCAAAATTCTTTCAGTTGCAACTCTGAGCCCCAAAAGCGAGAGGGACCCAGAGAGCAAGCCAGAAGCTGCTGCACCTGTGGCCCAGTGTCTAAGGTCACAGAAGGTCAGCTCTGCCACGTGACTGGAGCTGCCCCTTTGCCCGCCCAGACTCACTGAACAGGGACAGAGAGCTGGGATTTCATTTCATTTCCTCTCATGAGACAGAGTTGTACTAGGTAGCTCAGTTAACCTCAAACTTGTGGTCCCTCTGCCTCAGCCTCATGTGTGCTGCAAGCCTCATTCCTGGCTCAGACCCTAGGTCTCTTTTTTTAATAATTTATTTTTATTTTATGTATATTGGTGTATTGCCTGCATATATGTCTGTGTGAGGGTATTAGACCCCCTGGAATGAGTTTACAGACAGTTGTGAGCTGCCATGTGGGTGCTGGGAATTGAATCCGGGTCATCTGGAAGAGCAGCCAATGCTCTTAACCATTGAGCCATCTCTCCAGCCCCTCAGATCCTAGATCTTTAAAAAAAAAAGTTATTAGTATATAGTGATTATACATGGTAGCAGTCTTTGTTATGATATTGTCACATATGTCTATAATATAATTTTATTATAGTTACCCCTGTTCCCTTCTCTTGTCTCATTCCTACTGGTGCCCTTCCCCTTCCCAGTTAGTCCTTCTTCTGAACACAGGCTCCATCCTGCAGGGAAGCTCCTTAAACAGGAAGGTAAACAACTCAAAACAGCTTCAGGAAGTCCCTGAAACTGACTGGATTCACTAGTCCCCTCCCTGCCAGAGAAAGCAATGAAAGCTCAGAGTCCCTCAGTAGCTGAACTGAGCTGAGCTACAAAGAAGATCCTCAGCCAAGCTGAGGTAAAAGAAGCAGAAACCAGCGGAGCTGCCTGAAAGACATTTAGACCAACTGAACTACATGCAAGGACACTTTTCAACCAGTTGAGCTGCCTGCAGGCTGTGCAGTGTGCTCCAGATTCCCACCCAACTTTGTGAGCTGTCACCCATGCTGGGGTGGGCTTTGGTGATACAGCTGTCTTTGAGACATTTCTGCTCCTATAAGCAACCCCCACCCATACTCCTGTAAGTAACCCCTTAAAACTCATTGGTTCACCAAGTTGGACCGGGATAGTACCTGTACTTTGGTCTGTCACGGGTTCCCTACCTGGGTGAGTAGACGTGTGTTACATCTCCTCAGGAAAAGTTTTGTTACAGAACAGTGGTGTGTGTGTGTGTGTGTGTGTGTGTGTGTGTGTGTGTGTGTGTGTGTATACATGTGTGCTGTGGGATGTAAATATGTGTTGCTCTGATTGGTTGATAAAGAAAATGCTGATTGACCAGTAGCCAGGCAGAAAGTATAGGCGGGAAAAGCAGACAATGAGAATTCTGGGAAGAGGAAGGCTGGGTCAGGAGTCACCATCCAGACACAGAGGAAACAAGATGACAAGACAGAACTGAGAAAAGGCACCAAGCCACATGGCTAAACATAGGTAAGAATTATGGGTTAAATTAAGTATAAGAGCTAGTCAGTAATAAGCCTGAGCTAATGGCCAAGCAGTTATAATTAATATAAGCCTCTGTGTGCTTACTTGAGGGACGCAAGTGGGAGAGATTTGTCCTGACTGCCGGCCAGCCGGGACACAGGAAAACTTCCAACTACACATGTGTACATGTGCATGCAGTGGTTTCATCAGGGTTGCTTGCAGAGCGTATGTAAGAGGCTGTCTACCCAAGTACAACAGCTTATGAATAGCTCCACCATGGAGGAAAGTGTCCCTCCCTTCCCCAACAACCATTAGCTGTCAGGAGAAGTGGGGCTTCATATGATGGACTGGTTGGTTGGCCCCATCTTGTACTTGTATGCAAGTGACCACAGCTGCTGTGGATTCAAGAGTGTAATGGCCATGTCAGGCTTAGAAGACATCCTTCTACAACATTCCATGCCTTCCTCTGGCCCTTAGCATTCTTTCTGCCACCCCTCTTCCATGATGTTCTCTGGGCTTTAGAGGGCAGACCCCAGATCTTGATAGGCAGAGTGGGGGTGTCATGTTTTTAAGCTACTACACCTGTCAACAGACAAGAAAATGAGAGGTGTGGGCATCTACCTGTACCTCTCCCCCAGCTGGAATCCTGCATGAGCTCTCCCTAACACCTCCAAGACCAAATTCCTATTCTGGAGCACAATGGTGATTATTACCACACCCAGTTTCCAGGATGTTGGGGATGGAGTAAGACAGAGTATTCAGCGTTTAGTTCAGTGCCTGGTGCACAGTATGCTGTGGGTGGTAATGGCATTGACATTCTTCCTAATAACACCTGAATATACCAGTAATGGCTTGCTTTTGGCTACATGTAACAGAAACCTCCATAACTGGTTCACCAAATAGGAACTTCTGATTTTTTTGTGAAGCTGGAAACTACTATGACTGTTTAAAGAATCACCAGAGGCCCAACTACCCCATTCTTGGCATGGGACTTCTGTTTTCCCAGCTTTGAGCTGGCGCCTGTGGCCCCAGGAATTCATCTCCGTTCCAGGCAGGAAGACATGAAGGGTAAAAGCCAGAAGCCTTCTCAGGAATCTCTATAATTTCATCTGGGGAAGTGGTCCTCCCTAGGAATCTCTATCCTCATCTCACTGGCCACCCCTAGCCACACGGCCACCCCTAGCTGTGAGGTAGGCTGACAAGTATTTCCAGCTAGGCTGACCGGCACCCTAGACACACTGGGGTTCTGAAGATGCATTTCTAAGGTAAGGCAGAGAGCAGCGTCAGTGCGCCTAACCTGACCAAGCCCACAAACATACCTTTCGTGCCAGGACTACCGTGGACCACATGGGGTAGATTGATGTTTTTTTTTGTATCAATAAGCACTCTCACTTAGTATAAACCCCTAAACTGCACTCAGACCACTTTTCCCAGGAAGCTAAAATCTCACCCATGTAAGCTTTCCTTTCTATGACAAAATGCCTGGAATCAACTGAGAAGGATGAAGGATTTATTTGGACACTGGGTTTTGAAAGTTTCTGTCTCTCTATGCCGACTGGATCTATCTTTTTTTTTTTTTAACCTAGGTCGAGGGTGAAACATTGTGGCCAGCCAGAATCACTCATTCCATGGCAGCTAAGAAGAAGAGAAAGACCAGAAAAGGACAGGGTCACAGACATCCTTTTCTGGCATGCTTGAAGTCACCAACTTCCTCCAGTCTGGCCCCACCTGTTAGTTTCTGCATCCTCCCAACAACACCATCAAGTTATAGATCTTCAATGGTGTCAGAGTTCTCATGAGCCAAGCATCTCCCCAAAGGCCCATAGCTGGCACCAAGGTCTTTATGTAGGAACCTTTAAGGGACATTGAAACTGTAACCCTCTCTGAAATCCTCCTGCCCAAGCTGGACAAACTCTCGACCACTGCTCTACCACCAAGCCACACCCCAGCCTTTACTATCTCCTTGACCTCTCACATCATCTTGGTGCCTCCATCTCATTTGTAACCGTGTCAAAGCCAACTCCAGCCAGCTAGGCAGCTAGGTGGGCTAAACCATTGGGTGCTCGCTTCTCCTGGACAGCCTTTAGCAACAGCCTGGCATTTCCCATGGTGGCACCAGCCTTCTCCCTATTCCTGTGAAGTTCTATTCTGTCCCCAAACTTGCATCTTCTGCAGGACAAAATCGAATCATTACAGATGATGATCAGGCCCACTCTCCCTGGGCAGAGCTTTGTGAGCATCTGAGCTTGAATTTGCCTGTGCCCTCTGTGAGCAACATACTGATGGTAATGCCAGTCATTCTTAGATGTACAGCCCCAGCAAGTTCACAGCCTCCTGGTTCTCTAGTCTACTCATTTGCAAGGTTGGCATGCTAAGATTCAGCTCACAAGGCCACTCTGAGGAATGAAGGAGAGAACACATCATTGCTAAGGAGAGTGCCTGGCATGTAACAAGCTCTTCATAATATTATTTAAGGGCTGAGGATATGGCTCACTTGGTAGAATGCTTGCCTGGAACGCACGATCCCCAGAACCATATGAAACTGGGTGCAGTGGTATACGTCTATAATCTTGGCTCTTGGATGATGGAAGCAGGAGGATCAGAAGTTCAAGGTCACCTTGGCTACATAGAAAGTTCGAGGCTATAATAAACTGTATGTATTAAACCAGCTATGGCTATATTAAACTGTATCAAGTATATATGCTACTCCAATGTACAAAGCAAGAGAATAAGATCCCCCTTTGTCTGGGTTCCTCATTTGTCCACTTTCTGGCTGTGTGACTTTGAAGAAACCCCTTGTGGGGACTAAATAATGCACAGGGAGTCACTGGAGTCTGGCCGTTGCAAACATCGTATTCCTAAACTCACATAACCTTGAGGTGGCTTTACTGAGGTCCCTAGTCTACAGGTGGAAAAACTGAGATGCAGACTTCTAAGCTCACTCAGTGGTATGTTTCAGTGACAACAGTGAACCTGACCGTGTGAAGCCATGCCATCTCAGGAGTGGGCATGTCTTCTGGCCGGCTACATCCTTGTTTCCCACAAGTCAGTCTTGCCTTCTTTACAATAGCAACCCAGTACTCGGTTGCATGTGTGGTCCCCAGCAATAAGGATGATTTTTATCTAAGTTTAGTCAAACCACAAGATTAAGCTAGTGGGGTGTGAGCAGAAGTGAGGCCGTAACTCCCAGACAAGTATCCTTGAAGGGTGGGGGGGGTGTCCTCCACCTTCTGCCTTTTGCTACCCCTGCCCCTGCCTCCCACACACACCCTAGCTGGAAGGCAGACAGCATGGATTCAGCAGTCTTTCTGGTCCATGAAGCAACCTAGGGAGTGGAAGTCACATAAAATAGAGCAGAGAGGTGCAACATGGCCTGCTTTATTGACTGAGCACTACACAAGAACACACCTTAAACCCACAGGCCTGCAGCACCAGTCCTGCTTTTCATCTGTGCACTGGGCCTGGGCGCGGCCAGGTTGTGTAGTTATAAAACTTCCAGGCTGTTCACATGGGCACCCTGCACCCCGATGCTGCTGTGTTCTGTGATAGCTATGACCTCCCAGTCACATATACCAGGAGGAAGGATTAAAATATGCAGCTAAAATGGTTGTTGTTATTAATTCTCTCTCCTTCTAGCCTTTGTTGATTATCTTCATTGTTCATTAGGATTTCTGCAGCTAAGGACTTCAGGATCCAGGTTGGGGAGATGGCTCAGTTGATAAGAAGCTCAATGTGATCCCCCAAGCCCACATTTGAAAGGCTAGATGTGGGTCTGGAAATTAGCTTATTAGTTAAGAGCACAGGCTGTGGTGGCGCACGCCTTTAATCCCAGCACTCAGGAGGCTCTAGAGGCAGGTGGATCTCTGTGAGTTCGAGGACAGCGTGGTCTACAGAGTGAGTTCCAGGATAGTCAGAGCTGTTACACAGAGAAACCCTGTCTTGAAAAACAAAGCAAAACACACACAAAAAAGGCTGCTCTAGCAGAAGACCTGGGTTTTATTTCTAGCACCTACAACCACCTGTAACTCCACTCCCAGGGTATCCGATGCCCTCTTCTAGCCTCTGAGAGCACCAGGTATGTACGTGGTACAGACATGCATGCAGACAAACACCCATATATATATAAAATTAAAATAAAAAGTTGAGTGTGATGCCGCACTTGAAATCCCAGTGTTGAGAACAAAGACAGGAAGATCCCAGTGGCAATCAAGCTGATGGTCAAGATTAACCACCACAGCAACCATGTAGGTTGGAATTTGTAGCCTCTTCATCCATTAGTTCATTCATTAATATGCTCATTATTGCTCACAATGTGCCAGGCTCCAGCCTAGCGTGCTATGCTCTTATGCATTCCCTGCCTTGACAATGCACCATCTGCTGAGGAAGACAGCCAGAGATGGAGAACAAGCATGTCTGGCACCCATTTCTCTCTCACGAGGAAATCGGCTAATTCTAAGAGCCAGGGGTGAAGTGGACGCCACATTTTGCTGAGGGATGTGTGGATTGAGGCAGGCATCATATGGTAGAGTTCACGGTCCTGAGGCTCAGTGTGTGGGCCCCCAGCCATGCTGTCCTGGTGTGAACACCCCAGAATCACACACATGAACACAGTCATATATATACATGTACAAACATATGTGCATACGCACATATAAACACATGTACATAAGTACACATATATGTACACACACCCTCACACACACACATACAGGAGTCGCTGAGTCATGTGCCAGAAATTCACTTCCCTTTGCTTCAGGAGAAGCCAGAGGAAGCCAGGGTCTACCTCTAAGGATGGAGGCCTGGTGATGAATACTCACCACACGTGCCTAGCAGCAATGAACATGTATGAGACTCCACACACAGAACAGTGGCAAGGAAACAAAACCAAACAAAATGAAATCCTCCAAGGATCTGGTCTGTGGAAAGTACCATCTGTGGTTTGACCTACTCACACGAATCAGCACCATAAGTAATTGATAAGGACACGTATGTATGCAGAGCACACTTCAAAAATATCAGTGTGGGGCTTGGTGGGTTATACTAAGAGAGTGGGGGGGGACAAAGTTTGGAGTGGGTGGGGGTGGATCTGGCAGGAATTGGGGGAAGGTGGAAAGTGTATAGGCTTAAAAAACATCGGCTGCACGTATGAAAGTCTAAAATAATATATATGTGGTTTGTTCTGGAACTTGCTCTGTAGACCAGACTGACCTGGAACTCAGAGATCTGCCTGCCTCTGCCTCCTGAATTCTGGGATTAAAGGTGTGCACCACCACCACCCAACAAAACATTATATTTAATAAAAATAATCAAGTGGGCATCTAGGTGGGGATCAGGATGAAGAAAGAACTCACGAGGGACCAGAAGATGCTGCACCAGGGTGGGGTTGGAGTTGCAAAACAGAATAATAATAATGAGAGTCTACACTAAATCCAGGCACAGGCTTGTCTGGTCCCATCTAGAGAGACACGCCCTCCAACCAAGAAGGAAGGTGGGACAAAGACCCAGAGGTACGTAGTTGGTGCCTCTGAACAAATGCAAGAGCTTCCATGGCTCAGAAAGCCAGGCTGTGCTCAGGCAGGGAGACAGGGGCCAGTTGCTGCTCCCCTGGCCTGGAACCTTCCTTCTCTTGCTGAGTGGTCTCCAGTCAGCCCTCACAACCACTGGACTGCCTCAGATGCCAGGTGATGTGAAAGGAGGGCTCTAGAGTCAGACCAACATGAGCTCCTGCTCTGGGCGACTGGTTGATCCCAGGCAAGTCACCTATTCTTCCTTGATGAACCTCAGTTTCTCTGTCTATACAATGGGAAGAGTGGTAATACTGTGGCAGCAATGGGCAAGAAGTAAAATGAGCAAAATCTGCAAAGCCCCTCTCCTATGGAGGTTTTATTCCAGCGGAGACAGATGGTGTGGAGAGAGGGGGAGAATGTGTTTACAGCTACATTCCCAGCTTCCAAAACCACCAAAAACACATAGCAGGGCTGTTGTGGTGTCTTCTCATCACTAGGATAAAAAAAAAAAATATCCTATGAAGGCAACTTAGGGGGAAAGGGTTGATTTCGGCTTACAGTTCAAGGGAACTGGCTGTCATTGCAGCGGATAACAGCAACAGGAGCTTGAGCAGCCAATCACATTGTATCCATAGTAAAGAAGCAGAGAGCAAGCCGGGCAGTGGTGGCGCACGCCTTTAATCCCAGCACTTGGGAGGCAGAGCCAGGCGGATCTCTGTAAGTTCGAGGCCAGCCTGGTCTCCAAAGCGAGTTCCAGGAAAGGCGCAAAGCTACACAGAGAAACCCTGTCTCGAAAAAAAACCAAAAAAAAAAAAAAAAAAAAAAAACAAAACACAAGAAGCAGAGAGCAGAGGATGGACGCATGCTTGCGGGTGCTCAGCTCCCTCCTTTCCCTTGGTCCAGAGCCCAGCCCAGGAAATGGTGTCACTCACATTCTTCACACTTCAATACACCCAATTAAGAAAAATGATCGGGCTGGGAGGATGGCTCAGTTAATAAAGTGTTTGCCACCCAAGCACGAAGACCGGAGTTCGAGCCTCAAATCCATGTAATCCTAATGCTGGGGAGGCGGAGAGAGAGTCCCTGGGATTCACTGGCTAGATGGTTTAGCCTAATCAGTGAGCTCCAGGCCAATGAGAGACTCCATCTCCAAAACCAGGGTAGGACAGGTGAGATGGCTTAGTGGATAAAGGTGCTTTCTACATACACAGCAATAAATAAGGGTGAAAAATGATCACAGGCATCCTCAGAGGTCCATTTCTAAGTTGACCATCAACAGCAGCATCCGTCACTCAGTTAATATCTGTAGACTATGATTTCCATAGCATTGGAAGATAAGGTAGACAGGAGCGTTGGGGTACTGGCAGATGAAAGGGACAGTTACTGCTCTAGCCCTGGCAGTCAGTGAAGGCCTCTGACAGAGATGAGATTTGGAGGAAGTGAGGAGATCATTTACAGGTATGTCTGGAGACAGTTGTGTTCCCAGAAGTGGGCTCCGGGAATAGATAGAAACGTCAGTGTGGCCAGAGCAGAGCGAGGGACGAGGACTGAAAGGAGTTGAGGCTGCCACATAGATGGCCAAGAATGCAGCTGATGCTCTGGCCCACTCCTGGTGACAAGTTTTGGAAGAGCAGACACCACTTGGTCCTTCCAAGCCACAGGCAAAATAATACAAACTCACTTCTGGTATGTAGCTCTTGCTGTGTGCCAGGCCCTGATTTCTTGGCATAAGACCTAGGGACTGTCCCTGGTCCTAAGAATGGGAGATATTCTTAACGCCATTTTCCAGAGCAGCAAAAATGAGACCCCAAGAAGCCACTGGCCTTGAACTGAAGCCAGATTTCTTTGATGCCAGACCCTGGCTGGCTCTGACCGTATTGTCCTGAAATTCTTTGTTTACAGCTCTTTTTCCTCTGCTGCAGCCAGCCACTCGGTCTCATTCATGGTTTTATTTTACTTCCAAGGTCCCTTGTGTCCAAACCTGCCCAAAGAGCAACTGAATGAATGAGCCTTCGGGGGCGGGACCCTCCGGCCTAGCAGGCATCCCCAGTTTGGATCTGGAATTGGGAGGGGGCTGGACAGGAATTCCAAGCCTCCAGAGGGTCAGGAGCAGAGGGGAGGGGAAAACCGGGAGAAAGCGAAAGTGAAGGGAGCAGGGAGCCCCTGTGAGGAGGCGCAGACAGGGAAGGAAATCTCCCGGTCAGTAATAATTCATGGTCTCAGGAAGCAGCCGCGGCTGGAGCGCTGGAGCTGCGTATGAGGCTGGCCCTGTGGGGAGGGGCCCGAGGAGGCTCCTCACTAAAGCCCAGCCTGACTGGGTCACGGTCAAATGGTATGGGGGTGGGGGAACCAGGTGTAGGGACAGACTACCCCTACAGACCTTGGGCTCTGAAGACTTAAGGGTTTCCTCTCCCAGCGGCTCAGTCCTGGGCCCCTTCTGGGCTAGATCAGGGGCTGGAGAAACACAGCCCTCGGAGCTGGAAGAGGGCTTTAGAAAACCAAGAAGCTCCTGCAAGCCTTTCGCTCCTTGCAGCTCTAGTCAGCATTTGAGAGGACAAGAACAACATTTTCAAGGCCAAGTGGATGCTGATTTTACCTGGGATGGGATGGCACTGGGACCCCAGTGGCCATCATCTGCTCAGTTATTCTTCCCAGGTCCTCTAAAGAAGGGAACACCCAGACTGCATCCTGAAATTTCTGAAAGAAGAGGGGGGGGGGGGCAGCGCTGACAGGACATGAACGAAGCCTGTGAGGATTAGGAGAGTAGTGAAGCCAGATCTGCACCGGGGGCACTGTCCTATAACTTTAGCTGACACAAAACTGTCCCATTGGCTCCACTAGGCTCCAGGGTCTGAGAAGGCAAAAATGATTATGTTCTGATCTTTATCTTCCAACTAAAACCATGCCTGGCATAGAGTAGAGCCCCGTCAAATAGTTAAGTAACTGAATGGGACTTGGGTGTTTGTTTTGCTGGGAAGGGGGCGTCTTAATTAGGGTTTCTATTGCTGTGATGAAACACCATGACCATTTAGCAAGTTGGGGAGGAAAGGGTGTATTTGGCTTACACTTCAACATTGCTGTTCATCACTGAAGGAAGTCAGGACAAGAACTCTAACAAGGCAGGATCCCAGAGGCAGGAGCTGATGCAGAGGCTTTGGAGGGGAGCTGCTTACTGGCTTGCTTCCCCTGGCTTGCGAAGTCTGTTTTCTTCGAACCCAGGACCATCTGCCCAGGGATGGTACCACCCACCATGGGCTGGGCCCTCCCCCATTGATCACTAGTTGAGAAAATGCCTGATAGCTGGATCTCATGGAGGCATTTCCTCAACTGAGGCTCCTTCCTCTCTGATGACTCTACTAGCTTGTGTCAAGTTGACACACAAAACCGACCAGTACAGGGGGAGAGAAAAGAAAAAATGTTTGTCAGCAAGAGAGGTGACTTCGCTCCCCTCGGACAGCTCCAGCATCACAGTGCACACTGGTGAGCTCGTATCAAATGCAGTGTCCCGGGCCACACTCCGAGCTGCTGAATGGAACTTAGTCTGAGAAGCTTAGTCCAAAGCCCCTGGCCGCGGTTCTGACCGTACACCGAAGTTGCTAGGACACTGGATTCGACTTTTAAGCGCGGGGATATTCTCACAATGGGAAGGAGGAAACAGGCCATGCTAACAGAGACCTGACAGTGGTCTCCCAGAAATCCGTATCTGAGCGCCTGACCCGCTCAAGCCCAGAGCCTTCGGGGAGGGCCAAGAGCTCGGGGCTCCTCTCAACTTGGGGGGGACCCAGAAGCAGGCGCATCGTCATTGGCCGGGGCGGGACGGGGGGCGTCCCATTGGTCCCGCCGGGACCGCCTCGGGATTGGCTCCTCCCCCGGCTATAAGGCGGCGTCCGGCCGGTCCGTGGGAGCGCGCGGGAGCGCACTGCGGGGGCGGCGGCTCGGGGAACCAGGCGAGCGGAGGCCCGCGGCCGGGCGCCCCATGGCGTTCGCGCTGCTGCGCCCGGTCGGCGCGCACGTGCTGTACCCGGACGTGCGGCTGCTGAGCGAGGACGAGGAGAACCGCAGCGAGAGCGACGCGTCGGACCAGTCGTTCGGGTGCTGCGAAGGGCTGGAGGCGGCGCGGCGCGGCCCGGGTCCCGGGGGCGGGCGGCGGGCAAGCGGCGGCGCGGGCCCGGTGGTGGTGGTGCGGCAGCGACAAGCGGCCAACGCGCGCGAGCGGGACCGCACGCAGAGCGTGAACACGGCCTTCACCGCCCTGCGTACGCTCATTCCCACCGAGCCGGTGGACCGAAAGCTGTCCAAGATCGAGACGCTGCGTCTGGCGTCCAGCTACATCGCGCACCTGGCCAACGTGCTGCTGCTGGGCGACGCGGCCGACGACGGGCAGCCGTGTTTCCGCGCGGCGGGCGGTGGCAAGAGCGCGGTCCCCGCCGCCGACGGCCGTCAGCCGCGCTCCATCTGCACCTTCTGTCTCAGCAACCAGCGCAAAGGGGTGAGTGCACCGCACGCCTGCTGCAGCCCGGCCGTCAGGGTACAGGGACCCCCTTTGGAGGCGACCTCGGAGCAGCGGCGGGGGCCATGTCTCATGTCCTAGGATTGAAGTGGAGCAGAGCCTCTTGCTTAACCCTCAAACAGAAAGCGTAGAGGGGAGTCCAGTAAGCTCTGGTCTGACTTAATTGTACCTTGAGAGGTGCCCGCACACTGGGACCTTAATCTTTGCCTGATGCTCGCCCTCTGGGCAGGTAGCTGGTTGTCCGCTCAGTTATCTCTGAGGCGCTTCAGATAAAAGCACTGCACACATTTACAGGAAGTAGGCTCTGGGCTTACTAGGTGGTAGCAGGCATCACTCTGAGCTAACATCGTCCCTAATAAATTGTTCCAGGTCCTAAGACCTGACCCAACAGCAGGAGACTGAGAAGAAAATGGGGACATATACCTCCTCAACTCGAGAAAGCCGCAGGTCCTCAACACTTGTGCAGGAAGGGGTCCTTGAAGAGCGCCGGCCTCAGAAGGACATAGGGTTAGGAGGGAACACTGTTGTCTGCTTCCGTCTAAGCTAAGAGGCTGGCTGGGCACTGGGAAGCAGTAGAAGTGTCTGGGGCCTCTTAGCCGAAGTTGCCCAGGCCTGCTTGGCCCCCAGGCCCTCACCCTTTCCAGCCTGAGCTTGTCTTACAGCGAGGAAGCTTGCCTGTGTGACTTGAGCTAGGTCAGCAGTTACTGTTTACATCTGGAGAAACTGAGGCTCAGAGAATCCTGCCTTGCTTTCCATGGCCAATGAGAGAAAAATCATGGGGATTATAGTCAGTCTCCTTCAACTCAGCACACTGGTTCTCATAGCTCTACCCTGGAAAGGCCTCAGCGGCCTAGCCTCAGACCAGCATTCTGGCTCAAATTCCCCCTTGTCTTCCCAGCCCTCAGATGCCTCAGTTTCTCTGAATCTTCTTAACCTCCGACTGGTACCCGTTTGAGGGACCCTGTCAGTGCCCCAGGCGGAAGAGAGAAGTCAGAGCTGGGCCTTGAGGTGTGCATCTGGAATGGAAAGGCTAGCTGGGCCCACCACAGCACTCCTTTACAGCCTGTCACACATTCATCCGGGTCAGCTTCCCTTAACCACCCAGCAGCTAGCTTTTGTTGGCTCTGAGAATAAGCAGATGTGGTGCCTTCCTTCCAGTCAGGTGTTCTCAGTAGAGCGTCAGGGGCAGGACAGCAGGGTGAAGACAAGGATGCTATGGGACTTGGAGAGCCCAGGAGAAGCCCAGCTCCAGAGTAAGGCTGAAGAGCTGTGCTAAATCCCTAAAAGATGTGTGGAAACAGAGGCAGGCATACGGATAAAGGACGGGAAAAGGCGTTTTAGAGCATGAATGGAGTTTGCAGTCAGGGTCTAGACAGTGGTTCTCAACCTTCCTAACGTTGCGGTCCTTTAATACAGTTCCTCACGTTGTGGTGACCCTCGACCATAAAATTATTTCATTGTTACTTCATAACTGTAATTTTGCAACTGTTATGAATTGCAATGTAAATATCTGCTGTGCGGGATATCTGATATGCGACCCCCTGTGAAAGGGGCCGCCACCGACGGGTAGAGAACCCCTGCTCTCGAGAAAGAAGTGGGGAGATGTTAAAGGCAGAGGTAGACCTAGACCACCACTGTGACAGGAGTCTCCAAGTACACGCCTGTGCTCAGCCCTCTTCATCTAGGGCAGAGAAGGAGTCTTGTGGTCACCCCCACCTGCTTGGACAAGGCTGCCCTTGCCCGAGGTGCACAGTAGTGTTAGAGCAGGATTGGCACTCTGGTCTGGCTAACTGGGAAGTGGGAAGAGTGACAGCAGGAAGGCCCTGTGCCTGCAGGCTGCAGAGAAGGCATATCTGGGCCCCCCCACCCCAGCAGTCAGAACGGGGGCTCCTTTCTAGCACGGAGCACTGTCCCCTGAGGTTCCCAGTGGCTGGCCTAAGCCCGACTGCTGCCTTGGGATCTGTCTGTGGGATCAAGAACCCAACCAAATTTGGTTGTTTCAAGCCTTGCTCAGTCACACAGGCTCCTCTGGGAATAAGCCAGAGGGGTGATCCTCGCCAGCTTATCCTAGCCCCTCTAGGACTTGTCTGGAAGATACTAGGTGTTTGGGGGAGCCCCTGCACACTTTGATCTCTGAGGTCAAGACGCTCCAAGGTTCCAGACCCGACTCCTTCCTAAGCCACTCCTTCCCCTCTGATCCTGGATGGTCGGGTTGGGGTCACCATGGACACAGTCCCCTACAGCTCCTTCCTGCTGGGGAGGAGCTAAGGTTACCTCTGAGTACTGAGTGGAAAGCCGGTTCTTGTCTCTGCCTTGTTTTCTCTTCTGTCACCCGGGATGGAGCTGGACAGGATCCTTTGTGAAGCTATTCCCTGTTGTTGGTGTGGCCCTCTCAACAGCAGAGGGTTGACAAGGGGCCAGGAGTTGCCATTGGAAGAGGCTGGTAATCATATTCTGAATGTTTAGACCACTTACTGTGTTCTTCAAGCTGTACTGAGCTCTTCCAGTACAGCTTGAGTGTGAGTGTGTGGTGGGTCCACACTGTAACCCCAACTACCCAGAAAGCTGAGGCAGAAGATCCCAGGTGTGAGGCCTGCAGGGCAGCTTAGTGAGACCCTGTCTCGAAAAGTAAAAACAAGACTGGACCTACAGCTCTGCAGCAGAACACTTGTCTGCCATAAATGAGGCCTTGGATTCCGTGCCCAGTACCACACGCACAAAAAGAGCGTTACCTGTTAGTGTGCATCCCCTGTGTTAGCTTGTTTATCCTGTAAAGCAATACCATGCCACAGGGGAGGAAACTGAGGCTCCATCCAGCAGGGAGTCCATGTTAGAAGAGGAGTATTTCCCTCTGGACCTGATCAAACCTCTCCTTGGGGTTCTTGGCAGTGGACACAGCTGTGTTCACATTCCACGGCACCTGGACGGTATCCATTCCGCAGATGAAGAAACTGAGGTCCAGGGAGGTGAGCTGTCCCAGCATTCCCACGGAACCAAGTTCTCTGAATGACCTCCAGACTTAGGGTGGGAGGTGGCGTTCCTTGTCTCTGAGGACCTAAGAGTGGGGGGCGGGGTTCTTTCCCCAGCCTCTCTCTCCTTGCCCCATCCACCCTTCTCAGCTTCTCCTGCCAGAGTCTGTCTGAGAAGCCCAAGCCCCAGGCTCTGCTGGGACCATGGCCTCAACCCTCAAAATAGCCCTGCCTGTGAATGAACATGCTGTCCCTGGGCCCAGAGAGCCTCCAGGGAGGCTGGGCTCACATCTGGATGGATCTGCCCCAACCTGGGCTGGGGCAGAGGCAGGAGGCAGCAGAGGCAGAGCTTCCAGATGGTCCACTGGGTCTCTAGATGAACTGAGGTCACCACCGGCTCAGCCGCTCCCAGCCGACTGAGCACTTACTGTGCTAGTCCGTTCTATATGGGGCCTAGAAGTGGGGCAGCTTGGCAGGCAGTGGGCTTCTCCCTAGCTCTTCCTAAACAGCTGGTGTCTCCGGGCCAGTTACTCAACACCGGAATCCTCCTCACAAGAGGGAGTGCTGGGCTGAGCATGGTGGCACGGGCTTGTGACCTCCGCACTCAGACGTAGGCTGAAGCAGAAGGATACGGAGTTCAAGGTCGACCTAGGCTGCATAACTATCTACTGTCAGAACACAAGAAGACAGTGCAGGGCTGTGAGCGCTCTTGCTCTCAGTGAGGGTCTAACCTACGTCCAACCTGAGCGTATTGGTGGGAGGGACAAGGCTGAAGGGCTGGTGGCTTCAGGGACTGCCACCTTTAGCTTGAAGCAGCACTGACTGGCACCTGCGGGGCTCCAGCCCCAGGCTGGAAGAATGCTTTTCCCTGCCGTTTCCTGGACTCCAGGCCTGACAGGGAAGCAAAGGTAAACAGTGGTTTACTCCAGGGGAATGTCCCAAATAACAACAAGTGGGAAGCAGTTTCATTCATAGAGAAATCTTCCTGGAAGACCAGTGCCATGGGTGTGCTCCCTGCACAGGAGAGACCCTGGGTGAAGGCAAGGAGGCCAGAAACTTGTCTTATTTTGAGGGTGATTTACACAGTGCGCATACACACACACACACACACACACACACACACACACACACACACACACACACCACTATTTTACAGTCAGGGAGCACCTGGAACCGCCAGGGGGCTTTCCTTGTCTCTTAATGTAAAATATGTTTTACAGTGTGTGAAAATTGTATGACCTTGGAGTGTAGCTCAGTGGTAGAGAACATACTTAGCATGTGCAAGGTCCTGAGTTCAACCCCCAGCACCTCCTGCCCAAAACGTATAGGTATGTTATATATATATTCAATCTGGGGGTTTTGGTTCTGTTTTTGTTTTTTGAAACAGGGTCTCCTTATATAGCTCTGTCTGGTTTGGAATTCACTATGTAGACCAGGCTGGCCTCAAACTGATGGGCAAGCCTCCATGGCTCTGGGATTCCAGGCATGGGCCGGCGCACCCAGCATGTATTAGATTTCTTAAGACAAAAGGTCTTCAGGTGGGAAAGGAGTGGATAACGTAAACTGTTGTAAAGGAAGGGTGCCCCTGACACCCCCTCCGGGGACGGCACCCTTTAGCAATGGCTCACACACATGCTTCCCTCCGTAAGTGGCATTTGCTCCCCTCTGCCCTTGCTGTTGCCCTAAACACTGTCACCCCATGATGCTCCCCGTCAGCCCAGAGTCTCCTCTGCAGAGAGACTTAATGTGTGGCTGAACTTTACCAAACCTCTGTTGCTGGGTACATAGTTAGTTCCCAACTCATCCCGACACCTCTTTCTCTCCCGCAGGGTAGCCGTCGTGACCTGGGGGGCAGCTGCTTGAAAGTGAGGGGTGTAGCCCCCCTTCGAGGGCCTCGGCGATGAGCCTGGGTCCCTGCAGTGTTTGCTTCAAGAAGGACTCCAGAGAAAGAGGCCAGGAGCCAGCAGCCCCTCACTGGACAGGGGAGAAGATTCCAGAAGCTCAAACCACTCCTGCTTTGTGTAGGGACCATAGGACAATGGCCCGGACACAGCGTTCACCCTGGAGAGCCTTGAGGACCCATCTAGCCAGCCAGGCCTAGCTGGCCAGGGACAAGGCAGAGAGTTCAGAAAACCAAAGACTATTTTTGAAAGTGTGCGTGTGTCTGCGTGAATGTGATATGTGAGAGAATTGGTGGGTTAAAATAAAGGTATTTTTAAATAAAATGGTGTGTATCCTGGCTAAGTAAGGGGAGGGATGTGGGCAATGGGACGTGGAGACAGACCCCTCTGTAGGATTTAAGATTGTCACAGCTGTGGCAAAGGCTTCTCACCTTGAATGGGAAGCTATAGGCAGGTTCTCCTCACGGCCTTCCCTTGGTTCGGTGTTATAAACACCATTGGGTAGTGACCAAAGAAATCCGCATTATATTTATTTTTGAGTAAGTATATTTATTTTTTGGAACCATGGTTCAAATTCAAAAGCTTCTAGGGGCTTGTGGTGAAGAGTCTGCCTCCACCGGTTCCTCCTTCAGGCTCCCTGACACTGGAGTCGGTTTGGAAATGTCCCGTTCTTCTGCTGGCTGCTTATGCTGCCTATGTGAGTGTGACTTAGTGTGTGACCCACATCGCCACCCAGCCTGCATGGTTTGCCTCAGGTGCTGAAGGCAGAATCTTTCCTGGCATTAGCTTAGTTTTGGGAGACAGTATGTGACAGGTGACACCCTGAGGTCTGTCTGCATTTAAAACCCAAAGCAGGGGCCATTGAGCTGGCCCACCCAGTAAAAGCACTTGCCACCAAGCTTGACAACCCTTGAGACCCACGTAGCGGAAGGAAAGAACAGACTCCCCCAGGTTGACCTCTGACCTCTACATGTGCCTCACACACACAAAAGAAAATGTAACAAAATGGAGGGGGCAGAGCAATCCTTCCCCTGTCGGGGTGGTGGGCCAGCAGCCCCAGGAGACCATGCCCGTGTTTCCTCGGTGTAGACTCATCTGAGAACAGGGCACAGACAGCCTGGCTCCTAGAGCCTAGGGAAGCCAGAAGATCTGGGCTCTCTGGCTCAGCCACCAGGATCAGAGAAGCGAGGAGGAAGGCTGGGAGAGGCAGGACCAGCCAGGCAGCCGCCATTATCTCAGCAAGGGACAGTGACACACCATTGTTGTGCTCTTAGACTGACTGCGGGCTCCTGTGCCTGCCCGCATCTGACCCTCTGGCAGAAGCACTGTGAGGCGGCCTATTCTGCAGATCAGTAGACAGTCTCCACAGGATCAAGCCTAACCCGTCCAGTCCTCTCTACAGACAAAACAGGGCCAGCAAGGGACACCAGAACTGTCTACCCCTTGTCACACAGGCTGGAACCTGTGGTGCAGCCCCACACTTACCCTATTAGTAGGGACACGGAGGAGGGTCCCCAGGGGCCATGCTGCCCAGGAGACCTACCCCACGCCCTCTCCCTCAGTTCCTGTGTCCAGGGACATTGGTCTTGCCTGTCCTATGTCCCAGAGCGCCCACACTTCCCCTCCGGGAGCTAATTAGGAAAGCACATTGCTCTCCCTGCGCCTACCCTACTCCAGGTACCGTAGCCGCTGGCAAAGCCACAGGAAGAGGACTATGACCTTGTCAATGGCAGGAAACTTAGGAGGGGGGCAGAGCAGACACTTGGGTGCTCTGGGCTGGAAGCCCACTTCTGCCACCAGATTTGCTGGGTGACCCGGGAAATGTTGCTTGACCCGTCTGGGCCTTCCCAATATCTTAACAAGCCATAGCAGCAAGAAGAGAAAAAGGAGTATTTTGCTTTGTGCAATGGTTTTTAAAGAGCTCTGGGGCAGGGAGCAATCAGCTCACATTGCATCAAATGGTAAGCAAGGAAAGGCACACACCTCCCTCAGCCCACACCTCCACACCCCCCCACACACATACAAGGCAACCGCTATGAGGAGTCTCCCCATGGGTTCTTCCTCAAAGGCCCTGTGCTGGTTTCTAGCTTTGCAGAAAACAATAAGTACAGTTTTCTCTGTTTACGTCTTTATTGCAAGAGTTCAAGTTCTTCATGGCTCTAGAAACATCATCCATCCCAAAGACGATGGCAGCATACCCCACAGTCCTGGAGAGTCTGGCGCACACACGTGTACAGTTACCCACAGCCACCAAGTTCAACGTCTCAGCTCTTCATCCAAGCGTGAGATACTTTACAGGTCAATTCAGTAAATTCTCACCACCTGCTTGTATCTGGGCACACGTAAGCATGGAGACAGAGATGTCAGCTCTAGAGCGCTCAGGTGTCAGGTCAAAAAGCCTGTCCCCAAGTCCTGACAGTCAGCGGCTTCCCTCCAAGCCACCAGTTCCAAGGCAGTTACTGCTGAGCCCTGTCTTGACCTATGTGTACAGTAGGCAAGTTATGCACAAGTGTGCTGTGAGGGGGTATTGTTTGTGTGCATGCCTGTGACTTGTCTTACTTTACACAATAATTACACAGCATTTTGCACACTCCAGATTTTTCTCCTCACAGTACAGGCTTTATGCTTTTGCACAAAACCCTTGGTGTTCCAGGAGCTGGCACACCTTTCAAAGCTGCAAACTGTTCTGCCATTTGTGGCTTGTTGTTTTTCTGGGCAATGGACAGTTAATGTCTACCAGCCTTTGTGAGTTGCAAGGCTAGCCCAACACATGTCTCAGGAGAAGCACAGCTGTGGACCAAGACCTCTGAGGGTCATTTTCTTAATGGGGCTGACTCTTCCCCAAAAACTTATCTTGACAGCTAACTCCAGCCAGGTCACCTTGAGCCTGATGATGGCAGCACCCCACTCCACCCCATGCCCAGGCGCATTGCCATGAGAATGCTCTCAGCATTCACTTCACAGTGAGGAAACAGCAACCAGCCAGAGGCTTCCCAGAGGCATGGCCCCAGTAATCCAGGACTCCCTCCCTGCCGTACAGCAGGTTGCAACGGGAAAGTCCTCAAAAAATCACACACAGCCATAGGAAACTGAAGCCTACATGGAAACAGTGATGGGCCAGGATCTGAGACTGAATGAGGCTTAGAACACAGATTCTTACCCATATATGGTTTCTTGATTGTATCCTATTAGGTTAAATTAAAATAGATCTGAAATTATAATTCAGCGATAGAGCACATACTTCCCATGCATGAGTCCCTGGGTTTAATCTCCAGTACCCCAAAATTAAAAAATAAATAAACCAGGCAAAGGAGTTCCCAACAGCCACGAGGAGGAGGATCACAAATCAAGACCAGCTGAGACAGATAGAGCATGTCTCAAATTTAAAGAAAAAGAAAGAAAGAAAGAAAGAGAGAGAGAGAGAGAGAGAGAGAGAGAGAGAGAGAGAGAGAGAGAGGAAGGAAGGAAGGAAGGAAGGAAGGAAGAAAAGAAAGAAAAGAAAAGAAAGAAATCCAGAGGTAATTTGAGTTTGCTACAGTTAAGTAAAAGGACATCCTTCTGATTAAGCATTAAGTCTTCTGGCTGGAGAGATAATTCAGTGCTTGGAGCATTGGCTGCTCTTCTAGAAGACCAGGATTCAATTGCTAGCACCTACATGGCTGCTTACAACCTTCTGAAACTCCAGTCCCAGGAAATCTAATGCCCTCTCCTGGACTTTCTGGGCATCAGGCACACATATGATGCATAGACACAAATACAGACAAAACACCCATACAACATAAAATAAATATATCTAAAAATAAAAAACCAAGAACTAAAATAAAAAAAAAAAAAACAACCAAAGCTCATAAGCATGTAGCCAACTAAGATACAAATCATCTAGTTAAAAAAATAAATAAACAAGTGTCTCTCTGGGGTGGAGGATCATGATACAGGCAACACTGTATCCTCAAACGCATCCAAAAAGAAAGATGCTGGGGAGAGAGTGGTGTGAAGCAAGGGGAAGTCAGTAAATCCTGGGGCAGAAAAGACCTGGGGTAAAAGCAAGGGTTGCTAATGCCTGGGTGGTAAAAACATGGGGTCTTGAGATGAAGCATGGGGTCTTGAAAGCACAGCATGGGTAAAGGTATGGGGTTCTCTGCATCCCTTGTCCCATTTCTATGTGCATAATGATTGCAAAACTGAAGGACTGAAGCCAGGCTCTTGGCTCATGCTGACCCAAGGGCTGCCAAGCCGTTTCTTGGCCCCTCTAACTCACCCTGTTCCAGCTAGTCCAAGAGAGGACAGTGACCCCCAGTGGACCCAGGTGTCCCTGCCCAGGACTCTCAGGCCCCCATGCCCTCGGGAGGCTGAGATGGTCCTGGCCCTTGGGGCCTCCTGCCACTGTGATTTATGTCCCTGTGAGCCTCAGCAGCTGTGAGCTCGGGTCCCACCGGGCAGCCGGCTTGGGGGAGCAGTCTTTGCTTCTCAGCGTGTCTAATCCAGACCAGACTTACAGACCCCATGGGTCTGGGGTCAGGCTCCCAGGGGGCCAGGGTCAGAGGACAGGCCAGCGGGGCCTGGAAACTAGGAGTCACAGGCTGGAAGCAAGATCCCCAGTCTGATTTAGGTTGGCTACCACTTCTGTGTGATCCAGGGTGGGTGTGTCTGTTGTCTCTGAGCCTTGCTATACCTAACACAGCCTGCACACAGTGAACTTCTTAGAAGGGCTTGGTCAGCTGGGGCAGATCTACCTTAAAGTGGCAAAACATGGCAGAATTTTTCTTTTTATCTCAAGGTTAGGCTCTCATATAGCCCAGGCTGGCTCAGAACTCACTCTGCATCCGAGTTTGAACTCCTGGCAATCTTGAGCTCCTAATCCCTCTTCACCTCTCAAGCGCTGGTACAGACTTATGACACCATACTCAACTTCTGTGGCGCTGGGAATTGAACTCAGGGCCTCACACATGCAGACAGGCCCTCTGCCAACTGAGCCACATCCCCCAAGAGTTGTGGCTTTTGTTTTTGTTTCTAAGGATCACATCACCTATTCTTGTTTGTATTTTGTTTTGTTTTGTTTTGTCTAGACCAAGGCCCTGAGAGTTTCTCTTGACCTTGAAACATACACAGGTAGGTATTGTTGCCAGCCATGTCCAGGATCACTGAGCCAGACAACGGTAAAACCAACAATCAAATCCAAAGGGTCACTGTAGGAAGTAAAACCCAGAAGGCAGAGGATAAGATTTTAGCATCTTAGACCAACTTCCCTTGGGCTCAGCATGTCAGTCAGTCAACAAATATCTTGAAAC